CAGGAGTGCAGGAATGCCGAGGAGAAGGCCAAGAAGGCCATCACAGATGTGAGTGACTGCTCCCTTTCCCGCCCCCACTAGTGACATGAACAAGGGCCCCTGTCCCGGCCAGGCCACTGTGCCCTGACAAGTGGACTCTCCAGCTGCATGGGTTGGTGGGCCTCGGGAAACGAGCGCCAGGATGGGGCAAAGGTGATCCTGGAGGGAGAAGGGGCCACAGGTCCTGTTCTCTTACACGTCGCTCCTGTCCCCAGGCTGCCATGATGGCAGAGGAGTTGAAGAAGGAGCAGGACACCAGCGCCCACCTGGAGCGCATGAAGAAGAACATGGAGCAGACCATCAAGGACCTGCAGCATCGGCTGGATGAGGCTGAGCAGATCGCCCTCAAGGGTGGCAAGAAGCAGCTACAGAAGCTGGAGGCCCGGGTGCGGGAGCTGGAGAATGAGCTGGAAGTGGAGCAGAAGCGCAATGCAGAGTCAGTCAAGGGCATGAGGAAGAGTGAGCGTCGCATCAAGGAGCTGACTTACCAGGTGCGGGCATGGTGGCTGCTCCGGGGGGGCAGTCAAGAGGAGATGTAAAAGCACTTCCCCAGCCCCACTTCCTGGCCCCCATGCACAACCACTTACCAGGAATGCCACCCAACCCTCTGGCACCTATTACTTGAGAAGCTGTTTTTAGATTAATTTTCTTTCACATTCCCTGGAGTCCACTAGGCTTGAGTCCATGATTTCTTCTAGCAAATGCAGAACCTACCTCTACTTCCTGAAAGCTGTTTTTTTTTTTTTAAGATTTTTATTTATTTATTCATGATAGACATAGAGAGAGAGGCAGAGGCACAGGCAGAGGGAGAAGCAGGCCCCATGCAGGGAGCCCGACGCGGGTCTCGATCCCAGGACTCCAGGACTGCGTCCTGGCCAAAGGCAGGCACTAAACCACCGAGCCACCCAGGGATCCCCCTAAAAGCTGTTTTAACCAGCATTTCCTCCATTTTTTGTTTTTGTTTTGTTTTTTAATAACCCAAGTGCTACCTTGAAGTCTTTAGTACAGTCCATGGAATCATTCTATCAGCCCAAGAGGAAAGGACACAGTATGGCACTTTAGGGATAAAGGTCAGGGAGGGGAAAAGATTCCAATCTTCCATGGAACTTGTGGGACATCAGATAGATGGCTTTTGATACATGTTGATGATCCCAAAATGTTCTAAGACCTGCACCTGCATAGCTCAGAGCTTTTGACCTTGACCTATTATTTTCACAGTATGCCTGAGAAAGAAGGACAAAGAAAGAGGGTATTGGTCCCTTTGATAGCTGGATATGAGAGGTGTGAGAAAGAGCTACAGCTATAGAATGGCAAATCTGTTGTGTACATAAGAGAAAGTGGCATCCTAGCACATACAACGATGTGGAAAAAAAAAAAACAATGATGTGGAGATAGAAATGATCAGGTGACCTTAGGGCCAGTGATCCTGATGCCCAAATCTGCCCAGTGCAATATATGTCTGATAGGTTAGAATGGTGTGACTATGACAGCATCCGCTTCATTCTGTATTCTTCATTCGGCCGCTCAGCTCACTCTAAAACCACTGACTGGGACGCCTGGGTGCTCAGGGGTTGAGCATCTGCCTTTGACCCAGGGTGTGATCCTGGGGTCCTGGGATCAAGTCCTGCTTCCTGCATGGTGCCTGCTTCTCCCTCTGCCTGTGTCTCTCCCTCTCTCTCTGTGTATCTCTCATGAATAAATAAATAAAATCTTTAAAAAATAAAAATAAAATAAAAAAATAAAACCACTGGCCAAGAGCATCTATGGTGCTCCAGGCTGGAGCTGGAACAGCCTCAATGTCTCCATATTATCAGATGAAGGAATTCTATTTTTTTCTAGACCCCTTCCCTCACTTCCAGCTTTAGGGCCACAGCCCTCTTGGCTTTTCAGGTCCAGACTGAGGACCTTGCTGTGGCCCTCTGACCTACAAGTCGAGGCAGAGATGGAATTGCCCAGCCCTGTCTTTGACCTGGCCCATTGGAGGGAGGGCCAGCTAAGGCCTGGGGAGAAGAGTGGTATATTGAGGGAGGGAACAATGATTGTACTTGCTCCTCCCCCAAATTGGCTTCTCCCATCCATCCACCCCCAGACAGAGGAGGACAAGAAGAACCTGCTACGGCTGCAGGACCTGGTGGACAAGCTGCAGCTCAAGGTCAAGGCCTACAAGCGCCAGGCAGAGGAGGCTGTAAGTTCATGGTTCTCTCCATTCTCTGTCAACACACCTCCCATGTGTGAGAATGGACAGGTGGCAGCCTCAGCACAGGGACTGGACGTTTCACATGTCTCATGTACTCAGAGCTGTGTCAGGCCCTCTAAGCAAGCAAAAGCAATTCCTACAAATTGCTTGTAATCCACACACCAGTAGAGCCAAGAGAAGGCACTATAGCTGTGAAGCAGGCCAGGGGGCCAGAGGGTGCTGAAGGCTGGAAGGTGGCCATGGAATTGGCCCCAGGAGAGGACCTGACCAGAGGGCAGCAGGAAAGACTCTGGGTGGGCAGAAAAGTGTGAAAGAAAAGTGTTGATGAGCACACATGTACGGGAAACCTCGGGGTTGGGAGCATCTATCAGAGCCATGGTTGGCCATGTGCCATGAGGCTGGATTCTGAATGGGACTGGACCAGGCAGCATGTGATTCACCTCGGGCAGTGGGTGGCCATGAAGGATCCTGGATGCTGGGCAAGTTGAGGAGGGTGCCAAGCCAGGAGCAGGATACCCTTGGCAAGGCGGTTGTTGTAGGAACATACTTGAGGGGTGAGAGCCCTGAACCCCTGACTCAAGGACAGGGAATCCCTCAGACTGGGAGGCTGGAAATGTCCACTTCCCCCGCTTCCCCTGCTGCCTCTGACCTCATGGTCCCTGTCCCCAAACCCCCACAGGAAGAGCAGGCCAACACCAACCTGTCCAAGTTCCGCAAGGTGCAGCACGAGCTGGATGAGGCGGAGGAGCGTGCGGACATCGCCGAGTCCCAGGTCAACAAGCTGCGAGCCAAGAGCCGCGACATCGGCGCCAAGGTGGGTCCCTCCACTGGGCCTCACTAGTCGCCCCGGGTCAGCACAGCCACCAACACAGGCACTCCTACCTATGTTGTGACGGGCCTGGGAGGTGTCCCATAGCACCTGGACCTGAGAATCCCCTTCCTGGTCACAGCAGCCCATACAGACCGACTGGAACTCTCAAGAAAGCCCAGCCCCACTCCCTAAATGAAAACGGCTCCTAAGTGAGACCCACGATCCCTGAGGCCAGAACCTCTCCCTCTAAAGGCATCCCATTTAGGCCCCTGAGAGCCCTAGAGATTCCTCCTCACACTCTTCCTCCTTCTTGCCAGCTGCCCCCTCACACTTTTTATTCTTTTCTCAGCAAAAACTGCATGATGAGGAGTGACACTGCCTCAGGAACCCCACTCTTGCCAACCTGTAATAAACATGAATGCCAGACCTGCCTGTGCCCTGTCCTTCCCGCCGCCAGCCAGGAGCTGTCTTAAGGCTCCCGAGAGGAAGGAGGCCCTGCCCCTGTGTCAGAGCTGTGGGAGCCAAGGCATTCCACATGTACAGAGGAGGAGGCCCAGGCCCAGAGCAATGAGCTGTCCTCCCTGAACCCTGGTCAGTAGGAGAGAAAATAAAGGTACCAGAAGCGTGAGCCAATTCTATGTGCTAAGAGAGCTTTAGTGTCAAAGCTGAAGCTCCCATCCACCTACCCCAGTTCTGGGCTGCAGGGCTTAAAGGTGTCCTGGGACACCTGTTCCCCCCCACCAGATGAATTTCCCACTGATGCCAGGAGAGGCTCAGGACTCACTGGGGGTGGAGGTTCATAAAGGGCTTAGCATAGGTCCCATTCTGGCCAGCCCATTCTGAGTAACCCATAAGGAGCCCCAGGCACAGTCGGCTGGGGCCCAGGTCTGACCTCAGCCTCTGTGATCAGCACCTCACCATGAGGGGATCCTGAGACTCTGGGGCCAGCTGACACTGGCCATATGGGTGGGCAGGGACATCCCGGGAGCCTCCCAGGCGCCTTGGAGTACTATGGCCCTGGTAGGACTGATTCCTGAGCCGTAGCAGTGCCTGCTCTCCAAACTACCCCCAGTCAAGCTCTCTCGTAGCATTCGCTGTGGGCAGTCATGACCGTCGTTCACTAGCCTGTCTCCTTCTCAGGCTGTGAATGCCCAAGAACAGGCCTGCCTGTTACCTCTGGATCCCTGGAGCCCAGCATAGGGTCTGCACACAGGAGAAGCTCAGGAAATGTTTGCTGAGGTGCTAGCAAGCTGAGAGAGCATACCTACTGGTAGAGGGGGCTGGAGATGAGGCCGGGCCATTTTTTTCTGCATTACCGGGAGCTCAGTACCCTATACCTGGAAAGGTATTAGGCAAGCTAGGTTCTAATCCCAGCTGTGTCATAAATGAAGAGGTCACTTCCTGCAACTGGGCTTGTTTTCTCTTATGTGAAATGAATGAAGTCATGGGACCAGCTGATATCTAAGAGCTCTTCCAGAGCCAGCATTTTGAGTTCTGCCCTCATCTGATGTCGCAGGCCAACCTCTCTCTCTCTCTCTCTCTCTCTCTCACGCGGTCTACGGGCCGAGTCCTCCCCACACCACAAGGGGGAGCTCCACACACGCACCTGGCCCCCAAATGGGCTAACAAACCTGTGTGCACAGGTGTGGCAGGTGGGCACTTCCATGGGGAAGGCTTGTGCCTTTTCAGACATGGAACTCTGGGAGCCCAGCCACCTGGCCCACCACACAGTAGCCTGGCACACAGAGATTATGGAGAGGAAATCTGGTGTTGAAGGAAGTCTTCACACCTTCAGCCTAGCCCCCCTTCCCCAGTGCCTAGACCTGGTTGCAGAAGAGGGACCATGACTTGCTCCAGGCAGCATTTTTGTCAATGCCCTCTGGCCTTCCTGATCTGCCTAATTTCTGGGGAAGAAAAAGACTCACCAGTAAGATTTGAATCTTTTAATTTGGGAATGACCACCTTCCTCCTGCCCTCCCTCCCCAAAACACCTCCTTCCTGGTAGAGCTTCATCAAGAGCCAGATCTCAGAGCACTGAGCCCCCCAGACAAGTCCCTGGTGACTCCTCAGGCCAGACTCCATCTCTGAAGGCTTGGCTGGAGGGGAGGGTAGCACAGTGGGCTGTGAGCTAGGGAATCCAAAGGAAATGTGTCTGGTCTGGGCTGCACTGTTTCTTTTGTCTGGCTGGGCCTGGGAGCCAGGTAGCTCAGGGTCACTGCTGGTCCTCTGCAAATATGGAGCCGGGCAGGAATAGGCATGTCAGGATGGGGTAGCTGGGGCAAAGGGTAGAGAGGACATCTCCTCTCCCCAGAGCACAGACACTCACCCTGGCTGGTCCTCGGAGCCATCTCAGTCAGGTAGATCTTGAAGGCATCGTAGGCAAAGACGGAAACCAGGATGATGCCAAATACCTGTGGGAGTAGGAGCGGGGATGATACAACAAAGGTCAGCATCCTTTTAGTGTGTATTAAGCAACTACAGAATACTAAATAAAGTTTGGCCAAAACCAACAACAACAACAACAACAAAAAAAAAACACCAAAAAAAAAACAAAGGTCAGCAGCCATCAGTATTAGGGAGAGGGAGGTGGGCGGTAGCAGGCAAGGTGTGAGCCAGAGCCCCAGGCACTGCCTTGGGCTTGTGAGGAGGCTGTGCAAATACCAGCCAGAGGTCCTTAGGGCCTGGAGAGCTTTGTAGGGTCAGACTCACAAAAGCAGCAATGGCAGCTCCATCCCGGGAGGTCACAGCTGCAAAGGAGACCACCAGGAAGATGATGATGGCGCTGATACAGCGAAGGAAGTCCTGGGAGATGGGGGGGGGGGGGCGCAGGGTCAAAGGAAAGTCAGAGGGCAAGAGAATATCACCCTCAGGTTTTCCAGATTAGTCAGCGGCTTGCCCCTTGGCACTGGGAATCCCTACAGGGAGATACCCCTGGACACAATATAAAGCACTTGAGAGAGAAAGAGAGAGAGAGAGAGAGAAAAAACTCACACGGCTAGCCAGGGAAGGGATGCAGACGAATGCAGAGCGACCCAGGGCCCTCAGTGGGGCACAGCTGGGGCATGCCAGCCAGGAGAGCCAGGGCAGGATTGGGGCCAGGGCTGGATCTTTGGTGAGGGAGAGAGTGGCTCTAAGTGACCTGCATCCCCACCACCAGTACCCAGTAGCTGTGAAATCAGTGTCGGGCCTGGGGCCCATACTGACCCAAGAAAAGGAGAGAGGCTGGGAGGGAAAAGAGAAATTTAGCATTCAGAGAAGAAAGGGACCCAAATGGGGGAGGAAAGGCAGGGTCCCTCACCAGACAGGGCCAGTTCAGCCGATCAAAGTGCTGGTAGTACTGGGTGGCATAGAGGAAGAGGAAGGCGAGCGTGATGAAGAACTCCAGCAGCGCTGCAGCCATGTAGGCGGAGATGGAGGCCGTGAAGCAGATGAAGATGATGAAGGTCAGGGCCTGCAGGACCAAGTATGTGAGCTTGCCAGGAAGGGGACAAGGGCCTGGCCAGATATTTGCCTTCCCCTCCTTGGGAGCTCCTCCAGGCTGGCCCTGTACCACCCATCCTTTGAGGTCTCCCCATCCCTGGTAACAGGAGCCATACTCCAGGGCATTTACCCATGGAGGGCAGTTTCCAGCTTCTCACCTCCCCCTGCCCAGGGGTCCCAGCAACACCAGCAGTTTGACCAAGCCCACCCCTCCAGGGGGCACCATCCTGTGGAACCACGAAAGAGGTGTCCTGCTGCAGCATAGGGTAAGGGGTAAACACCAGCCTGGAGTCATGCCTACAGCAGCCCTGCACCTCAGGAGGGACCCCCTATCCCAGAGTACTTTCCCCACTCTCAGATGTCTGAACCACCTCTAAACAAGGACCAACACAAGGCCTTCAGTTTCACACCAAGAGACAAGGTTTAGAAGGCAGATGCTCCACGGTGGACTCTAAGGGTCCCTTCAGCTCTGACGATGGAGGGTGACACATATAGTGGGCTTACATTAACACTAAGGTCTTGCAAAGTGACAGAGGAAGGTCCCTTCGGGAGAACAGATGTTCACAGGGAGCAGGCCACAGATAAAGTGGGGCTGCAGGAAGTGTGCCCTTTATGTCCTAATTCAGTTCTTCTTCTGCCACTGAAGCTACTATAAGGGCCTTCAGATGGAAAGGCAGCCAGAGGGCAGGGTGGGAGGTGAGGCCGGGGCAGGGGGTATCCAGAAAGCCTGGGAAAGGAGACCGCTGAGGGGTGAACCCAGTGGGGGCACTGGGGCAGGGAGAGGGGGAGTGGGATCACACTGGGAGAGGTGCCAGCTTGGGAAGGTGGCTGTTACCAGCTCGGTTTCCAGCAGGATGCCTTTGAGGGAGGAGAGGAAGGTCTTGTCCACGGTGAAGCCCTGGAGTCCCGCAGCTGCCCCCTCTGCAGGGGCCCCGTCCCGGCGATCCCGAGCACTGAGCATCTCCACAGAGCCCACCAGGCACAGCCCCCACTGCCACCAGCCCAAGAAGGGAACTGGGAAGACGGAAACCTGGAGAGATGGGGGAAGCAAACAGGAGCAGGGAGGCACTTGGAGGAACCTGCAAGAGAAGCGGTCAGGCCGGCCGTGGGGCCGCCAGGGAGTCTTGCCCAGATGGGCTGTCTCCCAGCTGCCCAGAGTGCCCCCGCTGGTGCCTGCCCTGGCCCCCCAGGAAGCACATGGGGAGGGGTGGGGTGGGGCGGGGAGGAGTGGCCAGCCGTCTCCTTACTAGAGCCCCACCCCGCCTGGAGAAGGGGAGCAGGGAGGAGGGGGAAAGGAGGAGGGCCACACAGAAACTGGGAGGAGCTGGGAGGGGAGCAAGAAAGGAGCCAGACTAGGAGCCCCCCAAGGCCCTGAGGCTGAAGAAGTTTGCATCCCCCTCCACTAACTCCCCTCTCCCTGGCTGTCCTTTCTCCCTTTTCCTTTAAGGGAGGGTGGGAGCTGGAGCCCGGCCCAGGCAGCACCCCCCAGGACCAGGCTCTAGCAGCCAAGACTGAGGACAAAGGCAGATTGTTGGGGGGACAAGGGGGCGCTGTGTGCCTGCTGCAGTGCCTCAATGGGCCTCTGTGTCTCCAGCATGCCGGGAGGGCAGCCTGACCCCCACCCTCAGTGTTCAGGGGTAGGCCAGGGAGCCAGAGAAGGGGAGGGATGGGAGGCCACAGCGGAAACTCTGGGAGGCAAAAGGACAGGATAACAGGTGAGGGCTGACCGTGGGGAAGAGAAAGGACCAGGCTGGGGATCCTGGTGTTCAGGCACCAGGGACACCAAGACAAATTAAGGCCTTTTTAAATACAGATTATTTATTTGGACAAATCTCTCCAAGCTCAATAACAGCCTCTTTCTCAGAGCCTAGTAATTGCATCAAGGTATGTGCAGAGTAGATGCTCACCGAGGGTTGGATGGATGAGTGGGTGGATGGGTGGATGGATGGATGGATGGCTGGACAGATGAACATACAAATGAAATGAGGGGCTCTCCATCAGCAAAGGGGAAAGTAGCAAGAAAGTGCTTGTGCTGTGCCAGGTAGCTGGGGATGGGAGAAAGGGAAGAGATGGGGTGGTGGCCTCCAGAAACGGGTAGAGCCTTAAAGACCTTTCCCAAGAGGAAATGCCAGGATGTCCTCTTCCATTGGCCGTAAGAAATTCTGTTGCTTTCACCCTGCATTTCCCATCCACTCCAAAAAGTGAAATGAGCGACTCCCTCCAATCCACCATTCTGTCCAATGACACTGCTGCTCCAGGTAGTGCTTTGGAGGGGCTGAACATTCGGGCATCCTGGTTCACCAGGGCAGGTGGTTGCACACCCAGGTCCAGTGTTCCAACCAGGAACCAGGCATGGGCAGCATGACTAGGCCATCACTCGGGGCCGCACACACACACAAGCCAGGGAGACACGGTAGAGTCTTTGTTCCAAACAGTAACCATCAGGGGCACCCTGCTCTCCAGGGCACGGCCGCCGGTAGAAGACGGTCTGGTTGTGGTAGAGCAACTCCGAGTTGCCCAGGGGGTCCATGTGGGAGCCCGTCTGTAGGCTGACACAGTGTGGACACAGGCAACGGGCGTGGTACAGGTCCTGGGGGAGCCGGTTCAAGTCCCTGTCCAACCTGTGGGGGTGGCAGTCATCAGAGCCTGGAGGGAGGCTGGCCTGGCAGACAGGGGATGGACCAGATGCCAGGGGAAGGAAGTGTGGCGAGGTGGGCCAGACTTTATGTCCCAGCTCTTGAACCCACTTGCTGAGTGACTTTAAACAAGTCACCACCTCCTCCCTGAGATTTATTTTCCCCCACTGTTGGTGAGGGGCAGGGAAGGAGGAGTGGATTTCTGGTACTGGGAGCCTTGCAGAGGCAGGGGAAGGTGAGCCACATCCACCAGACAAACTCTACTTCCATCTGATATACATGCTGGGCTCTGGCATAAGGTTTCTTTTAGTAATTATTATTACGTTTTTAGGATTTGGGTTTTTTTTTTATTATAAAGTAAAACTGCTTTTACACCCAAGTATAAAAAACTGTAAAATGAAGACAGTGAGTCTCCCTACTGGTCCCACTCCCCAGAGGGAGCCACGGTCAGTCAACCATTCCCTGCACTTCCATCCAGACGCTCTTCATGCACATATCATGAGCACATGTAAGCATACTGGTAATACTTATTCTGAAAGAATTTTGTGGCCAAAACAAGACTTAAAACGTAGATGCTCCAAAGGCCGGGACTCCCAAAGGCTAGCGGGAAACAGCTGCTCAGTTATAAGACCATTCTCCATACAGACAAGCCCTCACTAGCTGGGGCTCAGCTAGAGACGCATTTCCCAGGGTGGGTTCCCTAATAAGTACCCCGCGAGAAAAGGGGCCTGTGGCCAAATGAGTTTGGGCAACACTGAATTTGCTATTTCTTTTCTGCGGACTTCTTGCAACTTTTAATGTGCTGAGCACATCATGAATCTCTGAGGGGTGAGGGCTGGAGTAGCTTTTCCCACACTTAACTGTCATCACCTTTTTTTCTGAGGAGCAGCCTGTGGGACAAGTATCACAAAGAACACTTTGGGGAAGATCAGCCAAGTAATTATCAGATGTTAACAGCCTCCAAACAGGGGGGTGTCTGGACCCCAGCCAAGTCAACCACCTGGCACCCAGCCTCCCCAAAGGGGCTCCCACCTCTTTGGATTTAGCCCAGGACCCAGCCAGACTTCTAAAACCACTTTAAAACATGGAGACCTGGAGTTTCCACCCTGGATATAGTCTCAACCAAAGTTCACCTTCTCCCTACCTACTGAACTTGTCCACCCATCCCCAAAGCCAAGGCCAAGCCAGAATTAGACCTATGGGGAATGGGAACACAGACACCCCAGGAAGACAGACACAAGATAGGGATCCCTAGAGCCCCAATATTAATATTTAGTATTTTGCTTCATTGCCCTGATTTCAGTGCTTCCAAATATTTTATATATCATGGTACAAATAGAGAATTTTTTTTAACAAATAGAGAATTTTAATATTCGTGTGGCACACTGAACGAAAGAATAAGACAGCCTACAATCAAAAATAACCAGCCCAGGGCTCTGGCTACTCCCACAGAGTTGAGGGTTTCACTAGCTTGATATGCATATAACCCATCCCTACTGGGCCAGGGCAGTAGCATGTGGTATTGGGGTGCTTCATGTGTGTATCATACCATTATTCCCTGATATTTCAGTTAGAACAAACATACCATTGTAGGGACAGAAGAAGAGGAGGAGGAGGAAGAGTTTCTTCTAGAAAAGAAACAACCTTTCCTGTATAAGGTACAAATTTTACATACATTATTTCATCTGATCTGCACATTGGCCTGAGGGTTTTACCGCATTTTACAGATGAAAAAAACTAAGCTTTGAGACCTTGAGGGAGCGGCTCAAAGTCACCTACTAAGAGGCAGAGCTACAACCCAGAGTGGGCTTTGCCTAACACCCAAACCTTTATGGCCTCTCTGAGATAAAAGGGAGTGGGCAGGCTGGACTTAGATGGAACTCCCCGGCCCCTCACATACACCCTGATGGGCACATATGCTGGCATTTGGGAAAGGGGCAGCAGACTCACTCATAACTCCAGGGGGAGATAGACCTGCTGTTGAGTGGTCCGTCTTCACTGGCTTTGCAGGATTCTGCGTGGTGGGTGAGGCTAGTGGTCTCTCCGGGGAACTTGAGGACAGTGTCCCGCTTCAGCCACTCATGAGTGGGGTCCTGCCTTTTGCTGGGACAGCAGTTAGGCCAGTGGGTGCAGTCCTTCTGGATCCGAAAATTGAGGGTGTGGGTTCCCATGGCCATTACCAAGAACACGATCACCTATGGGAAAAGGCCAGTGAGAGAACTGCTCTCAAGTAATCAGGCTGTTTCCTCCCCAGCTGCTCCCTGAGAGCCTGGTTTCTAGCTCCACCTGGTCCCCAGCCCTAAACCCGGAGCCTGGCCTCTCTCCACCCTCGGCAACAGTCTCAGCACCTGTCGGGCCTCTTCATACTCACCTGATTCATGCCTGATGCTGCTCGCCCAGCCACGGTGCTACACTAGCTGACAGGTGGGGCAGGCTGACTGGAGCAGCTCAGGCGTCCTGGTTTTATTTTCAGCAAACCTGTTTTGTTTATTCAAATTTATTTCCACGACCTTTTGGAGGGAATGACCTGACATTAAAAAAAACAAAACAAAACCAAAAAACCCTGAAAGTGTTTCCAAAAGATGCTTCAAGGCTATATTCATGGAAGTTATAATTCACATCACACTTTGGGAGCTTATTGGGGAAAATCTGTTCTTTGTACCTTTCTGGGTGTGGGAGTCAAAGTAATAGTATTCTGCTACACTGGGCATTGGAGGACTGACATTATGGGAATTTCCCTCGTTGGCTTGGTACCCCAAATCAGGGAACATCATCTGGTCTGTCTTCAAGAGGCCTCATTTCTATGCTCCCCCCAGGGCTTTCTCTCCACCATTCCCTTTCTTCTCAGACAGCCTCCTGATCACACACCTTAGTGAATACTTCCTTCTTTCTTCTTTGACCCTCAACCCTTCTGCTCTCTGACCCCTTCCTCCCTTTTGATGACCCCAGCATCTAGGACCATCATCTAAGACTTCTTTCTCACTGTCCATTACCCACTCCTTGACTTCCCCTCACCCTCTTCAGTAGCTGCCAACCCCCATCCCACCCTTCCCTGACCTCTTCTGGATCAGGGATGCAGGCCTAACCCCACAGGACTGCCAGGAATGCTGGATGTGCAGAGTCTGATGGAAGAAGATGTGGGTGGTTGCTCCCATTGCACAAATGAGGTAAACCCAGGAAGGGGAAGGGCCTGGTTGTTAACAGCCTCACCTAAGACCCAGCAGGAGGTCTCAGCTCCAGAACAAGCCTGCCTCTGCCCCCCACTCACAAGGCACTGGAGACAAGGGCCACAGCAGAGGTAGCTGCCCCTCTTGGGCCACAGGGCAAGTCCACCCAACCTCAGCCCCACTCCCAGCAACATGGGCCACCGTTGGCCAGGAGAGGGCATACGTGCTCAGAAACGCTTTAACTAGGCCTAACCCCAAAGACAAGAGTCAGCCAAGGGTCACCCCTCCTGGGAGACACTGCTGAGAGGAGGCCACCTACTTTCCGCCAAGCCTTTTCTCTCCAACCTTGCCCATCGACCGCCCCCCATCCCCACACCCACGACCCTCCCCGCCAGCACACTCATACACAGACAAGGTCTCTAGAATGATGTTTTCTGATTTGCATGTGCTTTCCCTTAGAAAATACTCCACTAGTAACTAGGGACTCAGAAAATAAACAAAGGGAACCAGGAATAACTGAAACTGCAAAATGAGGAGGAATCCTTCAAATGTCGTAGGGCAAAGCAGCCCCAAAGCAGAGGAGTGATGAGGTCAGGGGGCAGTCTGGAGAATTGGGAGAAGTTTTTCTGGTGGGTTTGGGGGAGGTGAGGTGGGGGCTTCGGGGAAACAGGTGGTAGCTGGGAGAGCAGGAGCTCTTAAGAAAATCACTGAGGTGGGGAACACATCACCCCGCTCCCATTGCCCCACTGTCTGCCCCATGTTCCCCAACACCCTCTCACTTCTGCATGCCACTGGCGTCAGCTCCTGTGTATCACGTGCCAGAATGGTGCCAAGCCCTGTATGTGCATTAGCTCATTTTATTCTTGCAACAAAACCATGAGATGGAAACTATTATCTCCATATTACAGATGAGAAAACTAAGACCCAAAGAAATTTAGGAACCTGCCCAAGCTTGCACAGTTAGGAGGAGGCAGAGCTGGCTTTTTACTCCAGCCCTGGCCAACCCCAAATCTAATCTGGCACACAGGTGCCACACTCTGCTGACACCTAGTCAGCTGCAAATGGGAGAGAAGCCCCTGCAGTCTGTGCTTTCCTATTTATCCAGGTCTAGGCTGGGACAGGTCTCACCTGAACCTGCAAGAGGCCACAGGATATTCCTGCCCACTCAGGCACTCAGCCCTGCTGGCTGGGGTCCACTGCTCTAGCTAGCTCCTGATCCCCTAGCGTTTGGTCTGGGACATGGCCACCAGGGTGGCTTTGGGTGTTCCTGAGAAACCCCTAACCCCAGAAAAGACTGTCAGAGGGCACTGCTCTTCCACAAGAGCTCAATCTCCATGGGTGTCCCCCAAATCAATCATAGCCTCAGAGCCTGACATTGGCCTAGATCTTCCCATCTTGGCCCTGTCCAGGAGGGGGTACTAGAAAGAGCCAGAACTGATTTCAGTTGCTTGGTTCAACTGTTGATGTTGCCAGAGACCCACACTGCCTTTCAGGAGAAGCCTTTGGGGTGTCTCCTGCCTCTGTACCAGGATATCCTCTGAGAAAAGCCCTAAAGAGCAGAGGGAAGGCCCCTGTGAGCACACAGTTGCCCCCAGAGCTGGCCTTTCTCCCACTGTGGTGATCAGTTGTGACCTGAGAACCTGTGCTCTGAGTCACAAGTACCCCACCCCCTCCAGTTTGTTCAGCCTCTGTCCTTATCTCACCAGCTGCTCTGTGGGATTCCTTTGGGTGATTCCCTGCCATGAGAAACATTTTCCAGAGGGTTTCCTCCTCAGGGAACTCATTTTGGAATCCCTGAGTCACTTCAGCTTCCAGGGAATCCTTGGGGGTGTGGGGAGATATGGGTGGCAATGGGAACACTGGAGGGGGAAGCAAAGGAAAGTTCACTCCACACCTGTCCTCACTTGCCTGGGCATGGCCCTGTAGCCAGAGGGGGGTTGGCTGAGCCCCAGGGAGGAGGGATCAGCATACAGCAGGGAAGGGCAGGAGAGAGGGGATGGAAGGCATCCCCACCCTTGGCCAGGAAAGACCCCAGGGGGTTGCAGGATGCTAGAATGTGGCTGTCCTTCTCTTCCACAGAAAGACACCCGACTCCTCCCCTGCTGCTTTGAAAGTCCTGCCCCTGCTTCTGGTCATTTCTTGACGTTGGGCCCTCCCTGGACCTTTCTCCTCATTTGTAGAAGTGCTTGTAGATTTTTTAGTTTTCGGTTTTGAGGGGGTAACCATGGTTGACCACAAAACCACCAACCAGCTCAGTTGCTCTGGACCTCAGCTCCAGAGATACCACTGAAACCACAGGATTCAGCAGAGTCTTGCTGCAGCTCATCTACACACACCTGATGTGAGGGCCAGGCAACAGCAGTTAAAAGGCTCAAATACTTCTGCCCCTGCTGGTAAATCCATGCTGTCCTCAGGCTGGGGCACCTCCTGTATCACAACCTACCTTTGATCCAGCCACTGAATACCTGGCATAGATGGGGGCCTCTAGGCTCCCGTGTCCTGATTAGTAAATGATAATGGTACTGATTGCTAGTTATTTGTCGCATCACCTCAAGTTACAAAGAGGCTTGGGCTTAGGAGCCTTCCTTCAAAGAGAGCCCTGGCTGGAGCGCCTGGGTGTCCCAGTCAGTTAAGTGCCTGACTCTTGGTTTTTGCTGGGATCATGATCTCAAGGTCATGAGATCGAGCCCCAGGTCAGGCTCCATGCTCAGCTGGAAGTCTGCTTGAGATTCTCTCCCTCTGCCCACTCTGTCTCCCTTTCTCTCTCTCTCTCTCTCAAATAAATAAGTCTGAAAGAAAGAAAGAAAGAAAGAAAGAAAGAAAGAAAGAAAGAAAGAAAGAAAGAAGAAGGAAGGAAGGAAGGAAGGAAGAAGGAAGGAAGGAAGGAAGGAAGGAAGGGAGGGAATCTTGTCTGCCTTGGAAGACACATGGAAAATCTGGGTGAAATAGACAAAAGGCCCTGCACCTCCCTGCCCGGCCCAGGGCTCATCCCCACCCATGGAGGACCCTGTGCTTACTCAGACTTGTCCTACAGTCATGGTTGCCCTGCTCATTCATCCACTCACCAGCTATTTACCGAGCATCAGTATATGCCAGGCACCCTTCTGAATGCTGAGGGTACAGAGGAGGACAAGCCAGATCAGATCTCTGTCTCCTCAGGCTTACATTTTAGGAGGAGACAAACTGATAAACAAGGAAACCAGATAATTTCTGATAATATTAGTGTCATGAAGAAAATGCAACAGTGTTATGAGACAGGAGGCTCAGGGGGGTGGAAGGAGTATCCTGCTCAAACGTGGAATGCCAGAGAAGGCCTTTCTGAAGATGAAGAATTTGACAGGATGATGGAAAGCACGTGGGGGAAGGGTGGTCTAGGCAGAGGCAGTGGGACAGGCAGAGAACTACAGGTGGGAAAGAGCTGGGAGGAGCTGAGAACCAGACAGGACAACACGCATGGGAAACACGTGATGAGGGCAGAGCAGGATGAGACAGGTAAAGAGGTGGGCAGGGGCCACATCACAGAGGGTCCTACCGGGTATGGCAGAGCATTTGGATTTACTCCAAGATCAGGGGGAAGGTCCTGACTGGATTCAAGCTTGATCTTTGATGTGGGTTTCTCAAGACCATGCCCTCTGTCCTTGACCTTCTGCTGCCCCCATAGGGCTGGCATCATATAACAATAATAATGGTTGCTTTCATCCAACATTTATACAGCATGGGCCAGGTGCTGTTTGCTGTTCTCGGGGATCTCTTAATCCTGATAAAAAGCCTGATGCTGGGACACCCGGATGGCTCAGCGGTCTAGCACCTGCCTTTGGCCCCAGGCGTGATCCCGGAGTCCCGGGATCGAGTCCCGCATCGGGCTTCCTACATGGAGCCTGCTTCTCCCTCTGCCTGTGTTTCTGCCTCTCTCTGTGTCTCTCATGAATGAATGAATGAATGAATAAATAAATAAATAAATTAATTAATTAATTAATTAAAAAAGCCTGATACTATGGTTTCATTATTATCCCACTTTACGGATAGGGAACCAGAGGCTCCAAAAGGTCATGCCAAGGTCACTAACCAGTGTTGAAACCAGGATTTAGAACCCAGGCAATCTGGGTGCTGTGGGCTTCCAAGAGAGGAAAACTGGAAATCCTGAGTGCCTGAGTTTTGAGCAGCAGGAGGAGCAAAAACAGGCCAAGGAGGTCATGATAATGGATGGAAGAAAGCAGCAGTCGGCCCTCCTGGGAGATGAAGAGAAAGTGGACCCCAGAAAGCCAGATGGGGCGTTTCCCTCCTTGCTACCTTATGAATATGGCCTGGGGAAGCCCTGAGGCACCTGAGGCTGCCCCCCAACCCACCCCCCCAACCCCACCTCTGCTCCCACCTCCCACTCAGGCTCTAACTGTCCAGCTGGGTTTTATCCAACCTCACCTAGAGCCCAGAGCCTCCCTGAACAAAGTAGAATCGCCTTAAACCTCTGTAGAGGAGACGGCAGAGATGAGATAAGGACAGGAAAAGGCTCCTCCTGGCCTCAACAAAGAAACACTTTCAGTTTTTATGAAAGTACAAGTTGTGGGGGTACGGGGAGGGAGATCTCTGTGCTAGGCATTTTACGTATATTTACTCTTCACCAAAGATTCTGCTGCAGATGAGGAGCTGAGACTCTGAGATGTTATATAACTTGACCAAGGTCATACAGTTATTAAACCAGGATTTATTCCCAAGTCTGACCAGGTCCTTTCCGTGCCTGGGCTCTCCAGAAGCACAGTCTTGTTTTCCTTCAGGTTTGTATGCTGCTCCTCCTCACCTACATTTTTTTTTAAGATTTTTATTTATTCTTCATGAGAGATACACACACACAGAGAGAGAAAGGCAGAGATATAGGCAGAAGGAGAAGCAGGCTCCATGCAAGGAGTCCAACGTGGGACTCGATCCCTGGACTCCAGGATCATGCCCTGGGCCAAAGGCAGGTGCTAAACCGCTGAGCCACCCAGGGATCCCCACCTCACCTACATTTATCTCCCCAGGACTGAGCAACGGCCAGTAGACCCCAATGCCCAACCTCCCAAACCACCATTTTTCCTGGTCCTTGCACTTCTTTCCTGCCTAGCTCCTTCTGGCTGCCTTGTGGCTGTCTGAGCATTCATCTTTGGGAATTGGATTTCCTGCCCATCTCCATCTTGGGTCCCAATTCGCCTTGACAGTCGTTTTCTGTCCCCCACCCCTCCTGCAGAGCATACTAAGGTCACTCCCCAGCCGCTGAGTGTCTGTGTTCCAGGCAGCCAGCCCCCCCACCCCCACCCCCCTCAGGGCTCAGGTCTGGAGATTGGACTGGGCTGGAGCTCTCCCTTCAGATCCATCTGGAAATTTATAAGTTCTTCTACCATCCCAAGGGTTTGTTGTTTTTTTTTTTTCTTAAGATTTTATTTATTTGGGATCCCTGGGTGGCACAGCAGTTTAGTGCCTGCCTTTGGCCCAGGGCGCAATCCTGGAGACCCAGGATCAAATCCCACGTCGGGCTCCCGGTGCATGGAGCCTGCTTCTCCCTCTGCCTGTGTCTCTGCCTCTCTTTCTCTCTGTGTGACTATCATAAAAAAAAAATTAAAAAAAGTAAAAAAAAATTAAAAATAAAGATTTTATTTATTTGACAGAGAGAACATGCACAAGCCGGCAGAGTGGTAGGCGAGGGAGAGGGAGAAGCAGGCTCCCTACTGAGCAGAGAGCCTGATGTGGGACTCTATCCCAGGACCCTGAGATCATGAGTTGAGCCGAAGGCAGTTGCTCAACCCACTGAGTCACCCAAGTACCCCCTAAGGGGTCTAAGTCTATTCAGAATTCCTAGGGCCACTTTCAGGTCTGACCCCATCTGTGAGCCAAGCCTAGAACCCATACTGTACTGTCCAACCCCACGTTCACCCTAGAATCTCTTCCTAACCCACTCCATAGGTCCCACTTCTCACCTTTGCTTCTTCACAAGTGCCAGGTGTCAGGGAGGGGGAGCCAGGCCAGATAGCCCCCTTCCCTCCTAAGAAATGCCTGGATGTGTGGGCCTGGAGAATGTCAGGAGAGAAGGAAGGGAGCATCTGTTCAAGGCCTCAGGTTCACAAAGCCTCTTAAATTAGACTTCTGATGTTATCTCCAGATAAGGGTATACACAGTCATTGTCTGATTTATGCATTTGAGGTGTTAATTTGTTAAACGTAAACACTAAAAATCTACTACAGCTTCTCAATCTTTTTTGGCATCTCACTTTTTAAATACCAGGAACCTCAAAAGTGGAAAAAGGAAAGCTCCCTTCCAGCCTAAGAGGCCTTGAGGTATGCCCCAAAAGGAAGAAGCAGGAGATGGGGGCAGCTGGAGGGAAACGGCACACAGTAAGGAGAAATGTGGGCACCCAAGAACCCTGTCCTTTCGGCTGATCCCAGCTCCCGTGAAACAGGTCTGCCCTTTTGTGCTAGCAGGTCCTCGCTCCCGCCCCCCACCCCACCCCCGGGGCAGCAGAGTGAGCCAGAGTGAGGGCCGGGGACAGGCCAGGGCTGGTAGAGCAGTGGAAGAGGCGGCACAGCCGCCCGCCCCGCCCGCCCGCAGCTCTGGGGCCAGGCTCCTGTTCTCTCGCCGGGGCCAGAATCCCCGTCCAGCCTCAGACCCCGGCTCGCGTATCCCCCCCCGCCCCCCGCCCCTCCTGGGCGTATTCCCCCCCCCCCCCCCGCCTCCCGTTCCTGGGGAGGGAACCGCCGGCCAACCCTAGCGCCAGGGCGGAGACAATGCCAAGGGAGGAGAGGGGCTCGGCTGAGGACCCCAGAGAGGAGGAGGGAGCGCGCTCCCTCCCACGGGACAGAAGTGGGGCTCCTGCGAGGGACGCTGAGAGAGGCGCGGGACCGCGGGGCTGGCGGGGCAGAGCGGGGGCGTGGCGGGCGAGGGACGCTCCCCCGAGGGGGCGCACCCCGGCGCCGCAGGTCCGCCGCGACGTCGGGAGGAAGAGGCGCAGCCGCGAGGGCCCGGGAGGGGGCGTGCGGTTTGGCCCGAGGGTCCCGAGCTGAAACTCAACACCCGCCTTTGGAGGGTTCGTCCTCCCTTCTCCTCCGCCCCTTCCCTTCCCCTCCCTTTCCCCCTCCCTCCTTTCTTTTAATCCCCGGGACTGGAGCCCCGCGCCGGAGCCCAGAGGGCCCGAGGGGAGGAGAAAGGCGCTTCCCCGAGAGGGAGCCGGGAGCCCGGGGAGGGGAGGAAAGGGGAGCGGCGCGCGCGCGGGGCTGAGCCCGAAGGCCACGCGCGACCCCCGGAGCTTTCGCAGCCCCCCAGTGTCTCCGCCCGCCCCCCTCCAGGCGAGTCCACAGGACCCCGGCTCCTGCTCCTTCGCCTTCTCTTTGCTGCTGCTTTTGCTTTGTGGCCTTTCTCTCCGTCCCCAGAGATCGTGGGAGCTGCCCCGAGCTCCGGGGCGCGCCGAGGGGCCCTGCGGAGGGTGCGCGGGCGGGCCGGGGGCGGCGGCGCGCGGGCGGCGAGGTTCCGTCGCGGCGCCCCAGAGCCGCGGGCGAGCGGAGGGCGAGCGTGCGTGAGGGTGACCCTGCCCGGCCGCCGGGGGTGCGAGCGTCTGGGCCGAGCGCAGCCACTTGGGCGCCGCCGCCCAACGGCCACGCGCCCCGGGGCCTTGGGTGCCAACCTGGGCGAGTCGGAAAAGGGGCGAACGTCTCGGGGCGCGCCCGCCCCACCCCCTCGCAGCCGGGCCGCCGCAGGGCCCCGGGCCGCCCCGACCGCGGCCCTGGGAGCCCCGCTCCCCGCAGCGGCCCCCGGGGGGGAGGGCTGGCCCCTGAACTCGCCCGTCCGGCCCAACCGCCCCGGCGGCTTCTCCCAGCGCTCGGGGCGGCCCCGGGCGGCCCTGCGAGGCGTCGAGCGCGGCCCCGAGAGGGAGCCTTCGCCCATGCGGCCCCGGGGGCCGACCGCGGCCTAGGGCACGCGGCTCCGGGGGCCTGGCCCACCCCGCGGCCCCCGGGACGGCACGGAGCGCGCGCCCTTGGATGAGGTCCCGCAGCGACGCCCCGGCCCGCCCCGCTCCTCCTCCTGCCCTGCCGAGCTGCCTCCCATTTGGGGAGTTTTGTGGGTTTTCTTTCTCCTCCTCCAACCTCCGCGGAGGCCACGACTCAGGCGCCGCAGCCGGGGGCCGCCTCCACGGTCCGGGGCGGCCGCTGCTGAAGTCAGCGAAACCGAGCTCGGCCTGGAGCAGGCCGCGCGGGAGGCCAAGGCCATGGCCGCAGCCACGTCGGTGAGTCCACCGGGCTGAGGAGGCTGCAGGCCTTGGGCCCTCACGGTCTGCCCTGCACTCCTGTCACTTTTTATTTCTGCCTTCGCTTTGTCTCTTTGCCTGGGCCCTTCTCCGAAAGGCTGTGTCCTCCCCTCACCCCCACTTTTGTTTCCGTTTCTCCCTCTCCATCCCTAACTCCTTCTGGGTCTAGGTTCCACCTTCTCCCCTCCTCCTCCCCATTCTCCTCTTTTTCTTTCTAGAGGCTACCCCTGGATGGAGGGGAGGGAGCAAGCCCAGCCCCAGTCCCGTCTGCTGTTTCATGGGAGGGAACAGATGGCTACCGGTGGTTGGCAGGGGCTTGTGACTGGGAGGCAAGGAAAAGTTTGGGAGGGGGCTGAAGGAACAGCGGTGGTTCCAGGAGAGTGGGAGAGGCCAAAGAGGCCCTTCTCTAGGGGAAGGATGGAGGGAAGGGGGGAAATAGAGCAAAAGAGGGAGATTAGGCTGGGAGAGAGAGAGAAAATAGAGGGAGGAGGAAAGGTGATGTCAGCCAGCCTCTGGCCACTTTCTGGGGACAAAGGGAGGAGGCAGCTGGCATGATGGGACAGTGGGAGGAGGCCTCCCAGAGAGTGTCAGGCCCAACGCCACCCCCCAGTTAAGGCAGCCACTCCCTCAGCTGGGTCCCTGAGGAGGGGGTAGAGCAGAGGTGGCCACACCCATCATCAATCAGTCTATCAGCAACACTGGCTTGGGTTCCTTGCTTGACTCAGAGGTTTGGCCCCACTGGAGGGAATTCAAACCTTAACACAAGGAGGAGCTCTCCACACAGCCCCACCTCTTTCTGTCCAGCATGCCTTATAGTCTGGATCCAAGCAATTCTGTCCCCTCTCCACCCTTCCCTAGACCCTGTGATTCCCCGGGAATGTAAGGCTGCCGCTTACTCTCTGGTCCCCTCCTAATGGGGACTCTGGGAAGGAGCACTATGAGGCTGGCAAGCCGAGAAGCTTGGCTCCAGACATCCTCCCATACCTCTCAAGGGCAAGTTCAGTTTTTCACTCCCTCTAAGACCAAACTCCTTTGGACTCATATCTCAATCGGTATGATGGTGAGAAGATCTTCACTCAGAGCCTGGGGGGGGGGGGTCCTGAAAATAGTGGGGGTACTCTGATGGAAAGATGCTGGCTCAGGAGCTAGCTGGTCCGCTGGTTGGCTTTGTAGTCCCAGGAGGAGGAGTTTTCTTTTTACCTAGAGGTGGGGGTGGCATTTATGCTAATCAGACTTAGGATCCTAATAACAGCTAATATTTATTGAATATGTGCTGGCCTCTGTGCTGGCCCTAAGCTTTGTCCTGGTTGTTTGATGCATTATCTCTTCCAGTCCTCGAGACAATCCTGTAAGGATAGTGCTGTTATTATCCAGAAATGGATATTTGGATATGGCCATGGAATTCTACAAAGCAGGAAACCAAGGCTTGGGAAGGTCAAACAACCTGCCCAAAGTCACCCAGCTAGAAAAAGAGCCAGGACTCAGCCCCGGGTCTGAGTCCCCCTGCCTAATCCAAAGCACTAATTATTTCTTCTTCTTCCACTACTACTACTACTTCTTCTTCTTTTAAAATTATTTATTTATTTATTTGAGAGAGAGAGCAGGAGTAGAGGCACGGGCAGAGGGAGAGGGAGGAGAAGACTTCCCGATGAGCAGGGAGACAATGCAATGCAGGGTTCTTTCCCAGGACCTTGAGATCACGACCAGAGCCGAAGACAGACGCTTAACCCACTGAGCCACCCAGGAGCCCCCCAAAGCACTAATTTCTAATTTGCAATTAGAAAAGTGCTGAACTAACCAGAAATTTGTGCCATCTGGTTAGCATGTTTTCTTTCTGTGGGACAATATCCTTTCAGAATCCAAAATATACTCAGAAAATGGTTTGATGAGTTTGGAACCAGGCGAAAGGAAAAGCCAGTTTGTTGTTAAAATCCCCACACCATAAGGGCTGAACCACCTTTCCACCCCAGGGAAATGCCAATTAAGAGGAACATGTACTCATGCTGGCTGAGCAGGGCCTCCTCTCCAGGGCCTTGGGGGCCAAATGCAGCCTGCTAGAGATCTTTAGCTTGAGATGTTTTCCTGAATTCGTCAGCTAACATGGATTACCTGCTCAGTGACGCCTAACCACTTGCTCTCCACCATCACTGCCTGGAATCCTGCCAGTTGGCGCAGTCACTTAGCAAGCATAATCAAACCAGAATATTTTTTTGATGCTATGAGTGGTGTAAGTTTTTCTACCAAAGGACAACATGGAACCAGAGCCCTATGAGGGGTGACTGACAAAGCAAAATTAGGTATAATGAAGACTTCATATGCGCTTGAGTCATGTTTGAGTCATGGACTATACTTAACCAAGTGGTTAAGTTACTAACAGAAGAAAAAAAGTAGAACCTCCTGTTTGTGATCTTGGAGAGGCAGTGGGGCAGGGGCGGGGTTTGAGAGCGTGGGCTCTGGGGTCAGACAGCCTGAGGTTCAGGTCACCTCCACCAGCAGCACCCACTCTCTGTTGCGGGCAGAGTCCTACCCTCTCTGTCCTAGCCTTTTCAAATGGGGATAATGATGGCTCCTTCTTCATAAGGATGTTTTGAGATTAAATGAGATGATTAGCATAAAGACTTGCAGTGTCTGGACACATAATTTGCACTTGATATCTGTGACTAACCACCTGAGCAGGTGACTCTCGAAGCAACAAAGCTTAGATGTCCCTACCAGACACAACTGGCAACAGGCTGATAAATGTTTGCTCTTGGCCTGCTAGCTACCCATCTATACACACACAGACACACACACAGTAGCATGTATACTCTTCTCCTCTCCATGGTAACTTCAGCTTCCTCTGATAGAACCTTATTTGCTAAGACTGAGAATAAAACAATTGCTTCAGTTTTTCTTTTCTTCCTTTTTCTGCCGAGGCACTATCTGTGTTGGGTTTTTCCCAGGCTCTCTCAAATTGGTGGGTCTCTGCTGTCACTCAGTCTAACCTGCTTGGGGCAGGGACAGGGGTGGGGAGATGCTGCCTGGAAAACAGGGAATGTGACGGAGGTGGGCCTTCTCAGGGCTTTCTCGTGGCCTTGGAGGAAATTCACTTGACATAGGTTCATTGAGGCCCAATTCCAGGTGAAGCCTTTTTGTAGGGGCTTACGAGTATAGCCATCCCTGTTCTCCCAGAGCTTACAGGGAAAGGGAAGAAACATAAGAAACGAAATAGGCAAATAGTATGAAGTATGATGGAAGAAAACAATGGTGGAGACTGACACAGAATGGGGTGGGGAGAAGAGGGAAGAAAAGACCTCTTGGAGAAGGAAACACTTAAGCAAAACTACAGGATGAAAAGGGACCAGTCAGGTGATGAGTCAGAGCAAGAGCATTCTGGGCCAAGGAAACCACAAGTGCAAAGGCCCTGAAGTGGGAAAGGATTTCTCTAACTCAGGGAATAGAAAGGAAGAGTACAGGGGATGAAGCTGGAGACAAGGCAGGACCCAGTCACGAAGAGCTGAGTCAGGAGTTTAGATTTTTAGCTTGAGGGAAATGGGGAGCTCTGTAATATTTTGAGCACAGGACCTGATGACCTGATACATGTGTGAGACCCCTCTCCCCACTTCCACTTCACCCACCAGGCCCAGCTGGCCCGGGCACTCTACGACAACACCGCTGAGTCCCCCCAGGAGCTGTCCTTTCGCCGAGGGGACGTTCTACGGGTACTGCAGAGGGAGGGCGCTGGTGGTCTAGACGGCTGGTGCCTCTGCTCTCTGCATGGCCAACAGGGCATTGTGCCCGCCAACAGAGTGAAGCTCCTTCCTGCTGGCACAGCACCCCAGCCCAGCCTCACCCAGGTGCCCCCAGCCCAGCCTGGCTCACCATATCCAGCCCCAGAGCATGGCAATGAGGACCAGGAGGTGAGAGCTAGAGCCCTACCAACCCCAAGCCAGAAGAGTCCCATTCCCTTCCACTGGTACCTGCAGCGAAGTGGGGCAGGGTGATCCCTGAAACCACAGCTCTTCACGGATCCTGTGCCGTGTGAAACCTGCTTGCCAACCCTTCCCCATTGGTACAGGGTGGGAGCTGGAAGGGGGTGTAAGCTCCTCTAAGGCATACATTATCTGCTTCCCTGGTCTCCACTCCTGATCCACCCATTTGCCTTGACCTCCCAGGTATATGTGGTGCCACCCCCAGCTCGGCTCTGTCCTACCTTAGGACCACCAGCCGGACCCTGCCTGCCCTCCCCTGATCCCATCTACAAGGTCCCCAGAGGGAGTGGGACCCAACCGGCTGCCCCCGGAGATGCCTTGGAGGTGAGGGCTGGGTGTCCACGTGTGTGTTGGGCAGGGAACTGAGGGCTCCGTGGGCATCCAGTGCTGAGTCTGAGGATAACCGGTGACTCTGCTCCCTCTCCAGGTCTATGACGTGCCCCCCGCTGCCCTCCGAGTTCCCTCCAGTGGTCCCTATGACTCCCCTGCCTCCTTTACACGCCCTCTGGCCCTGGTTGCCCCGCAGTCACCTGGAGAGGATGAAGCTCCCTATGATGTGCCTTTGGCCCCAAAGCCACCATCAGAGCTGGAACCGGATCTGGAGTGGGAGTGGGGCCGGGAACCAGAGCCCCCCCTCTATGCTGCCCCTTCCAACCTGAAACGGGCATCAGCCGTGCTCAATCTGTACGAAGCGCCAGAGGAACTGCTAGCAGATGGGGAACGTGGAGGCACTGATGAGGGCATCTACGATGTGCCCCTGCTGGGGCCAGAGGCACCTCCTTCTCCAGAGCCCCCAGGAGCCTCGGCCTCCAATGACCTGGACACCTTGGCCCTGCTTCTGGCCAGAAGCCCCCCACTCCCACACAGGCCCCGCTTACCCTCAGCTGAGAGCTTGTCCCGTCGCCCTCTGCCTGCCCTGCCTGTCTCTGAGGCCCCCAGCCCTTCCCCAGCTCCATCTCCTGCACCGGGCCGGAAAGGCAGCATCCAGGACCGGCCTCTACCCCCACCCCCACCCCGCCTGCCTGGCTATGGGGGCCCCAAGGCTGAGGGGGATCCAATGAGTGAGGAGGTAGAGGACGATCCAGCAGGACACCGCAATGAGTATGAGGGCATCCCGATGGCTGAGGAGTACGACTATGTCCACCTGAAGGTGAGCTCATCTCCCACCAGCCCCACCAGAAATGACCCCAAGATAACCAGAGGGAGGAGTGAGGAGGCATGGCGCCCAGAGGGACCCTCCCTTTCTTTCCTCCTTCCTCTCTCCACTAGCCCTTCACCCTATGCCCTGGGACCCCAGTACTAGGCCCCATCACTTGTACCAGGGCCACACTCCTAAACCCAGCCTGAGGTCCGCAAGCCATTTGACCCTCCCACCAGAACTCCACTCTCAAGGGACTGCAACCTCTGATGGCGGGAGAGACCTGGGGAAGGGAGGGGAGGGGCAGGAATAAGATTGGGGGCCACCTGCCCTGCTCCTCCACCCCTGCACTGAGACCCTGATCCCTCCCACAGGGCATGGATAAAGCTCAGGGATCTAGGCCCCTGGATAAAGCCTTCCCAGGGGATCCTGAACTGCTGGAGAGGGGGCCACCAGAGCAGCAGGTAACCCTGTGCAGATGGCCCTGGAGAAGGGGGACAGGGAGGAGGAACCAGCCAGGGAGAGAGATTAGGATGGGGATAAGAACTCAGTGAGGCAGAGCTGCAGTTGAGAAGAGTGAGAATTCAGCAGGAAGGACCTGGAACCTGGGAAAGGATATCAGGAATTCAGAAAGCGGGGAAAGAATGTGTTGGAGAGGAATTAGAAAACCAAGCAGCCAGGGAAGCAGAGAGAATTTTGGACTGTGGGTCAGAGCTGGGCGGGGGGCCTTCCGAGGCTCCTTCCAACTGAATTCCTGGGTTCCTAAGAGACCTGGCTTCTAATCCCAGCTCCACCAGTAAGAAGCCAGGAGCCCTGAAGTCACCAGTTAATCTCTCTGGGCCTTGGGAAAAGTGAGGTGGTCTCCTGGACTGTCTAGAATGGTCCTAAGTATAGTAGCTACGGTTTATCGAGTAGTTACCAAGTGCAGACCCTGTGCCAAGTGCATCGCATGTGTCAGCACTAATCACAGCCACCGTTAGTACCCGTACAGTGCTCGTGGTGTGCCACGTTCTGTTCTAGTTCTGTTCTAGGCCCGTTCAACCCGTGGCATTAACTGCCCTGCAGCCATGGGAGGCGGAGACTAGAACTGACTACTCAATATGGGCGGCCGCTGGCCACACACAGCTATTGAGCACTGGAAATGTGGCTTGTCTGAATTGAAAGGCCCTGTAAATAGAAACCACACATCAGATTTTGCAGACTTAGTATGAAAAAAAGTCAGTAATTTTTATATTGATTACATGTTGAAATTATAACACTTTTTATATCTGGAGTTAGATCTTTTTACTTTTTTTAACATGGCTACTAGAAAAAATTTTATTACACATGTGGTTCATGTTATGTTGATACTGGACCCCTCCCCATTTTAGAGATAAGGAAACAAGTTCAGAGATTTGTTGGCAATAGTTTGAATCCAGATTGATCTGACATTGACTCCGGGCACTTTCTGCCACTGGCAATGAGAATTTAGATTTTCTGATGGGCAGAGGGAAGAGCCCAGGTAAAAAAGAAGGAATGAGGAGCAAAGGAAGGGAAGGGGGGAGGAGGGGGGAGGAGGGGGGAGGGAGGAAGCGATTGTAAAAGTAGCACTATTGAGAACCTGCCCACCACCACTCCTCTCACCCTCAGGAGGCCCTGTCCCCAGGGGAGCCACTGGATCTGCCCACCGGAGACCTGCAGCTCCTGCACTTCTACGCAGGGCAGTGCCAGAGCCACTACTCAGCACTGCAGGCAGCCGTGGCGGCCCTGATGGCCAGCACCCAGGCCAACCAGCCCCCACGCCTCTTCGTGCCCCATGGCAAGCGGGTAGTGGTGGCCGCTCACCGCCTGGTGTTTGTTGGGGACACTTTGGGCCGGCTGGCAGCCTCCGCCCCTCTGCGAGCGCAGGTTGGGGCTGCAGGTACGGCGCTGGGCCAGGCATTGCGGGCCGCCGTGCTGGCTGTCAAGGGGGCCGCCCTGGGCTACCCGTCCCACCCTGCGGCCCAAGAAATGGCACAGCGCGTGGCAGAGCTGGCCGGGCAGGCCTTGCAATTCACCACTCTGCTCTCCAGCCTGGCCCCGTGAGGGCCCCTCGGCCCTGCTCTGCCCCTCTCCTGCCTACCCCTTTTGGGCCTTGGGCAGCCAGAGAGCTCTGTTTTAGGGACCAGGAGAGGTGGGGCCATCTTTCCGGTCTTCTCAGTCTCTCACAGAGATGTCCCTCCCCCTCCCGCAGCTTTTTGTACGAGCCGTTTTGTATAAATTATTTATATTTAATATTATTCCCTGCTTTGTCAGGGGCAGGTGCCGGGCCCTTTGGGGCAGGGAGGAACTGGTCTCTTCCCTCGGCCTGGGGTGGAGGTTCTTGGTCACAACACTGCCACCCACCTCTGGAAACTTGGCCCCACAGAAATCAGGTGACTGAAACCTTGGGTCACTTGGAACCCCTGTCTTGTCCTGGTTCTTGGCTCTAAAACATCAGCACCTCACTGTTAGCTGAGGCTGAGGGCAGGACGTTGACTGCGCAGAAGGTGGAGGTCTGGGAGAGGCCCGAGGGCTCCTCCCCCCAGGAGGCAGGACGGAGTGGGGCCTCAGTAAGCCCTGCTCTCTGGTTCTCTGATTCTGCTTCTTGGGTGCTTGGGGAAGGGGCCGGGCCTGATGCCCCTTGGCCAAACCTACAGGACACACACTGTGGACAGAATGTCCTTGGGTTTGGGGGGAGGTTTTGCTCTTATTTTCAACAACTATTCATTCGGCGGGCTTCAGCTCCCATGATGTGCCGAGCACAGTCCTGAGGGTACATTGTGGAGTGGGGTGAATATAACCGAGTCAGTTAAAATAAGTAAATAACAAAATAAACAGGGTGATGTGAGGGACTAACTGGTTGAGGGAGAGGCTGTTGAAGGAGACTTTGGACAGGATGGTTGAGAGGTGATAGCTGAGGGCCCAGGGATAAGAGCCCCAAAGAGAGTCTGAGAACCAGCATTCCCAGAAGGCAGACACTGATTACTGACTGGTGGCCTTTCCCCCAAGACTTCATCATCACACGATATCATTAGAGAGGTGCACGTGTGGAGAGATTGGCCTCACGAGAACCTTGAAAGGTGCCATGCTGAAGAGATCACCCCAGTGAGGTCTGTCTTCAGCTTAGCGCCACAGGAGCACTCTGGCCAACTGGAAAGTGCTGCTGGCTAACCTCTCCTTATGGGTGCCCTCTCTTATGTTAACCCAAGAAGGTCTGGCCCCTTGAATCCCCCTTCCCAGTCCTCCTGCTGACCATCCTTCTGGAGGAGGTGAGGGGCCAAATGAATGCAATGTGTCATTAGTCCATAGTCCTCAAGCTTTGGTGAAATTGACAAGCCATGGCTTAGATGGAAGATCACTCCAGGCACTTCCACTGGAAGAAGTCCAAGCCACCGATCCATTGCTTCATTTGTGCTTTCCCCAGACACCTTGGCACTGTGACTGTGACTGGATTAGAGGCACCCCAAACTTCAATCACAATCTGAGTCTCTTGCCCCACTCTATGCATTTGCCTTCTCCATTTTGGGTTCCTTCTTTCTCATTTCACTCAAAGAAAATTCACTTCCAGATTCTGGGGTCACCCAAACTTACCCTTGGGTGTTGAAGATTTTATATCAGGGCTATTTTTCATCATCTCCCAAAAAGAATGTCAAGAGATCAACCTGGAAATAGAGGTTTCAATGCAAGCCCCAGATCTGCCTTGTGCCTATCTGCAAGTAAATCTTGTCAGTCCCTTTGAGTCCAGGCTTTATCTTTAATAAGAGGATGATCATAATGGTCTCACAGGATTGTGAGGCCATAACAATAAAATGCCTGTAAATGGCCCAGTGCCACATAAAGTTTATTATGTATAACTCCAGGACAAGGATGCCTGGGTGGGTCAGTGGTTGATCCCTGGAGTCCCGGGATCAAGTCCTGCATCGGGGCTCCCTGTGGGGAGCCTTATTCTCCCTCTGCCTGTGTCTGCCTCTCCATGTGTGTCTCGTGAATAAATAAAATATTTTTAAAAATAATAATTCCAGGACAGACACAAGGACACAGACAAATACCCAAGGAATGTTGGCTGTGACAGCACCAAAATAAATCCTAAGGAGATACTGAAATGATTTGGGGTAGGGGAGCAGTGGGAAGCTGCTTAACATATTAGAGCTCCCGTATTTGGAAAATATCTGAACAGAGGAGACAAATTGGAAGTGTATTGTGCAGTGGAGAGAAGAGGCAATCGATTTCCCGGCTGAGACTAACAGGACACCCCTTTCTAGTCCTTAACCTTAGACTAGAAAATAGATATTAAATACCTAATAGATATTAAATCTTTTAGAGAAGTGTGTCTTTAACTTGAATGTACATATACCTAGGGATCTGGTTAAAAGGAAGATTATGATTCAAGGGCTTGGATTCTGCATTTCTAACAAGCTCTTGGATGACATGGGAGCACTGGTCTGTAAATCACTCTGAGTAGCAATTCTAGGGGTTAGGGAAGGCTCTGAGGTGGGTATGCTTGAGCTGAAGGATGAGAACTTGACTAAGGGAGGAGAAACCTTCAAGGCATAAGGACCAAGTTGTGCAAATGCCCTGTGGCATTGGGAAAACTGAATGAAAGAAGGCCAGTGTAATGAGTGCAGTCTGGGGAGAGAAGCAAGGTGGAGCACCAGGGAGTATGGGATCCAGCATGTAGAACCATATGTGAGGCTTCTGGAATATTAGCATTTACCTTGTTGAGGAGGAGAAGCCATTGAAGTCTGTTAAGCAGAAAAGGGAGGTGAATAGATCTGCATTTTGAAAATCACTCCATCTGCACTAGAAATACAGATGGGGAAGGGGGCGGAAATGAAGCAGATGCAGAACACCAGTTAGGAGGCTCAAGAGTCCTGGGCAACAGGTAGCTTGACTAGTGGTGGTAGTGATGTAGAGAAGCAGAGTATCTGAGAACTTGTAGAAAATAAAATGGATTTTGTAAAGGATTTGACATGGGGGTAAGGAGGAGGCATCATAAGGGCTGTCACCTGAGCACCTGGCCACAGTTGAGTGATGAGGGTACCATTCCCTGGGGGGAAAGAAGCACTAGAAGACTGCCATGTTACAGGGGGAAGAGCGTAAGTTTGGTCTTGGATATATTGAGTTTGAGGTCCCTGTGAGTCAACCAAGGTTCAGAGATCCGGTGCTCAGAAGAGAGGTGGGAGCTGGAGATCAGATTTGTATCGTTTGTATCAGGGGTGAATGAGGCCATGGGCATGGGTGAGATTTCAAGGTGAAATGAAAGGGGGACCCAGGACCAAGCCTCAGGATTGCAGACCCTGAATGATGGTGAAGAGGAGGACGAGCCTGCCGTGGAGAAAAGAAGAGCTAGAGAAACAGGATGAATGTGTGAGATTTAGTAGCCAAAAAAGAAAGTGTTTAGAGGAAAGGGTGGTCAACAGTGCCAAATGAAAAACAAAACAAACAACAACAACAACAAAAAAAAAAACCAGTGCCAAATGATGTTGAGAAATGACAAAGACTCAACCGAGGTGGGGGTAGGGCAGTCTTATTTAGAGAATGGCAGCCAGGGCTGCGTACAGGGCCCAACCCAGCCCTCCGTGTGCATACCCTGAACTGTAGATGCCAGTACACACAGCTGTCTCCCAAGTAAGCTACTCCAAGGTGGCCTTGTCCATCCTGTCATCCCCCAAAGCCTAGCACAAGGCCAGGCACATAATAGACACTTAATAAATTTTACTGACAATGAGAGGATGGATGGGAAGATGGATGGATGGATGAGGAGGAAGTGGAAGCAAAGATGGAATCTCTGGCAACTGCCTGGATAGCTGCTATCCTTCAGCTTTCTTTCCTTTTTACCGCAATGACCTGCAGACCCAGGGAACAGAGACAGAGCCCCTGGGCCCTGGCCCCCCTTCCTCCCTCTGACGAAGAGTCTGGACCGAAGGTTCTGCTGACGTGGGAAGGGGAGGAGAGTCTGGAGGAAGGGGAGGGGAAAGCAGCGCAGAGATCGCAGAGACGAAGGAGGCGCCCGCGGCTGCAGAGCTGCGGAGCGGGGTCTCTCCGGCCTCTGACCGCGCATCCGGCGCCCCACTGGGCCAGAGGACAGCGCATCCTTTCGGTGAGGGCCGGCGGGGCCCCTGCAGTCGGCAAGCTGGCTCCCCGGGTGGCCACCGGGACCCCCGAGCCCAATGGCGGGGGCGGCAGCAAAATCGACAGCACTGTAGAGATCACCCCCAGCTCCAACGGAGTAAGTGCCCGCGCCCTGGGGGCTACGCCATCACCCCCCCCTCCCGCGCCCGCGCCCAGCGCCTGGCATCCTGCTCCCGCGCGCCCCCCGCCCCCGACGCCTGCTTCGCGCCCGCCCTCCTCCCTTGCTCTGCGGCTTTCCCCGCTTCTCCGCTTCACCCTTCTGCCCCCCGCCCCCCAGCAGGTCGGGACCCTCGGAGATGCGGTGCCCACGGAGCAGCTGCAGGGTGAGCGGGAGCGCGAGCGCGAGCGGGAGGGGGAGGGCGACGCGGGCGGCGACGGCCTGGGCAGCAGCCTGTCGCTGGCCGTGCCCCCCGGCCCCCTCAGCTTTGAAGCGCTGCTCGCCCAGGTGGGGGCGCTGGGCGGCGGCCAGCAGCTGCAGCTCGGCCTCTGCTGCTTGCCCGTGCTCTTCGTGGCGCTGGGCCTGGCCTCGGACCCCATCTTCACCCTGGCGCCCCCACTGCATTGCCACTACGGGGGCTTTGCCCCCAACGCCTCTGGCTGGGAGCAGACCCCCAACGCCAGCGGCGTCAGCGTCACCAGCGCGGCCCTAGCAGCCAGCGCTGCCAGCCGCGTCGTCACCAGTACGGACCCCTCGTGCAGCGGCTTTGCCCCACCGGACTTCAACCATTGTCTCAAGGACTGGGACTATAACGGGTTGCCGGTGCTCACCACCAACGCCATCGGCCAGGTGAGGCGGCCTGCCGGGCCGCGGGTGTGGGGGTGGGCCAAGAGAGGGGAGCATAGGGCCTGACGCCGGCTATATCCCTCTCACAACCCCAGTGGGATCTAGTGTGTGACCTGGGCTGGCAGGTGATCCTGGAGCAGATCCTCTTCATCCTGGGCTTTGCCTCCGGCTATCTGTTCCTGGGCTACCCTGCGGACAGGTGAGGGCTGCTGTGGGGACAGGGCGAGTAGAGAGAAGGGGATGCTAGGGTGGCTAGCCCAGGCAGGTGGCCTTAGCAGGAGGCCGAAGAGGATTCACTGGACTCTGCAGTCTTCTGGACTTCTTCTGTTTAATGATCTGCAGCCCCAGCCCTGTCTCACCTTCACTTCACTCCCCATCAAGAAATACTCCTTCCATACCTCTTCCGCACAAGAGAATAATACCACCCATTAGCCATCCCCATATCCATGGATCAGTGGCTCATCTCCAAAGATGACAGCCCCATCCCCACTGACTAAAACTCCTACCTTTACAGATCAAAAGTCCTAGCTCATCCTTTATTGTCCCTGTCATCACTAACCACCTCCCTCTGTACCCTCATAGATTCATAGACTCATCCCCAGTAATAGCCCCATCTACACAATGGGCTTCATCTTAACGGTGTTATTCCTACAGATCAGTATGCTAATTCCTAAATATCAAAAGCCGCATTCCCACTGACCTATATAGTTCAACACTACAAATGACTCCACCCCAAAGACCAATAATCATAATAGTACCCCCCCCCAAGAGATTAATAGTCTCATCCTCATGGTCTTCAATGCTCTTAGATCCTCTCAGATCAAAAGCCCAATTCGCATGAATCAATGGCCTTATCTCAAAGACCAACAACTTATCCCTGCCAACCAGTAGCTCTCCCCTGGGATCAAAACTCCCAATTCCTGTGGTTCCTGATACCATCCACTGACCAGGTGCTCCATCTCCACTGACCATCATCATGGATTATTAGACTCATCTCCATCCATCTACAGTCCCATCCAAATGGATTAATAGCTCAACTCCCATAGGTCAAAGGCAACACAACATTCAATAATCCCAAAATCAATATGCCTTCACTGCCCAATAGCCACACACCTGTTGGAAAAATGTTCCTAAACCCACACGTCAACAGCCCATTCTCATCATGCATTACTGGTCTCATTCCCACAGACCAAGAGCATCATTCCTATGGAATAATACCCTCATCCCCAAAAACCAATAATTCAGTCTCCTAAATTCGGTAGCCTTAGCTTCATTAACCAATAAGTTCATCTCCATGGAAAAATGACCCCATTGTATTGGAGCAGTAGCTTCACTCTCAAGGATCAGCCCCCCTTCTCAATGATCAGTGACCCCTATCTTCATCCCTACAGATCAGTGGTCCTATTCTCAAAGATCAGTAGCTCAGCCTCCAAGGATCAGTAGCCCTGTCCTCATTGACTCATAGTCAGTAAGCACCATTGCTGACCAATAGTCTCAGCTTTCCTGGTCTCACTGCCAGCTTATTGATTATCCTTGTGGATTTATATCCCCGTAGATTCATTCCTCATTGACCAATAGCCCCATCCACCCAAGAACTAATGTCCCCACTTCATGAATCAATTGCCTTATCCCCAAAGATCATTTGTCCAATCTTCAAAGATTAATGATCATCCCCATTGATCAATAGTTTTACCCCATGGGTTAACAAATAGTTCTATTCTCATGGATCAGTGGATCTTCTGGCAAGTGACCCCATCCCCACTGACATCTGTATGGATTAAATGACCCATAAACCAACCCATGTAACAATGGCCTCATCCCCCCAAATCAATTATTCAGTCCCCTAAGGTCAATAGCTGTGTCTTCACTGACTAATACTATCCCCATGTATAAGTAGCCAATGACCTCGCCTTCCTAGATCTATAGTTCCAACTCCATATATCAATGACTTCATCTCCTCTGACCAGTCTGAGCAAGACAAGTTCTATCTCCAATGGCCAATAGCTCTATCCCCAAGGATCACTGGTTCCATGTCCCCCAAGCAATATCTAATCTCCTTTAATGGCTGGTCTCACTTCCATGCTCTCGTCTCTGACCAACAGCCTCATCCACAAGAGTCAATCCCCTACATAGCTACAGAGCTACACTCCAGTGCCCAGTAGCCAGACATCAGTTACCCATGGTCCCCATCCCTTCCCATCTTCTCCAGCCCCAGTCCAACTTTTTACCCCGGGGCCTCATCCTCATACCTCCAGCTTTGAAGTGGGCAGCTGGGCCCTACCCGGCAACTCTTTTTCCAGGGAGTCTGGGTGACCAGAGGCCCTTCCCACTTTCCAGGTTCGGCCGTCGAGGGATTGTGCTGCTGACTTTGGGGCTGGTGGGGCCCTGTGGAGTGGGAGGGGCTGCCGCAGGCTCCTCCACAGGTGTCATGGCCCTCCGATTCCTCCTGGGCTTTCTGCTTGCCGGAGTTGACCTTGGTGTCTACCTGATGCGTGAGTGGCAACTTCCCAGATGTCCTTCCATTGAGGCCCATGCCTGCCTGTCTGTATACACAGGCTGTTCCCACTTCCCCCCTAGGGCCCCCTCAGTCTCTTCTCAGCCCCAAATTTCAGCTGTCCAGGATCTCAGCTATCTTTCTGCCCTAGCCTTTGAAGGATCCAGGGACTTTGCTTCTCTCCACACCCCTCCTCCCACCCCACCCCCCCATCTTTAAGGCCTTCCTTGCCCTTGAATCACTGTTGTCAGGGAATGGTGCCTCATTGAAAAATGAAATCCTGAGTAGCTGTATGCGGTTGGGCAAGCATTGATAATGCAGGTCAGATAAAAAGTCTGATGTGAGAGGAACTGTAAAGTAGGAATGCCGAACACTCACTCACCAGGGACTCTGACCCTTGAGTCCTCCTAGGTTTGAGCAGGAGAAGAGAGAGGACTGAACAGTCTCTCCACTCTTTGCCATTCTGAGGTTAGTCTGTGGGAGGTGATAGCTGCAGCCTCCACTCAGGGTCTGACCTCGCTCTCTGTCCCTCCTTCCCTCTCTCTCCCATCCCTCTTTCCCCCCTGGCGTCTCCTCCCTGTCCCTGCTGTATCTCTAGGCCTGGAGCTGTGCGACCCAACCCAGAGGCTTCGGGTGGCCCTGGCAGGGGAGTTGGTGGGGGTGGGGGGTCACTTCCTGTTCCTGGGCCTGGCCCTTGTCTCTAAGGACTGGCGATTTCTGCAGCGCATGATCACCGCTCCCTGCATCCTCTTCCTGTTTTATGGGTTAGTATCATCCTCCACCTGTTGTCTGGCCATTCCCACCTCTACCTCCAGCCTGGCTCTGGCCCGGAGACCCTTCCTCCTCTCCACTACCCCTTGTTCCCACCTTTCCCAGCCCCAGCCCCTCAGAGGTGGAGTTTCCCACCCCTGGATCAGGAGACAGAAGACCTGAGAGTGCACCCCTACTCTGTCCCTAGCTGGCCTGGTCTGTTTCTGGAGTCTGCAAGGTGGCTAATAGTGAAGCGACAGATTGAGGAGGCCCAGTCCGTGCTGAGGATCCTGGCTGAGCGGAACCGGCCCCATGGGCAGATGTTGGGAGAGGAGGCCCAGGAGGCCCTGCAGGGTAAGAGACAGGGGTCCCTACAGGTGATAGACACCTCACATGCACACATGATAGTATCCTCTCCATGGTTATATCTGTGCCACATCCCAGGGTCCCCACCACCCACGTGGGATGACCCTGGGTTCTCAGCTGTTTCTTCTAACAGACAGCTCCTCTCTCTTTCCCAAAGACCTGGAGAACACCTGCCCTCTCCCTGCAACATCTTCCTTTTCCTTCGCTTCCCTCCTCAACTACCGCAACATCTGGAAAAATCTGCTTATCCTGGGCTTCACCAAGTGAGCCTGGGTGTCTGAGCCAAGGGCCAGGCCAGTAGCTGGAATGGGGGCTGGCTGGGTGGGGAAGGCCTAAGGACCCCTGCAGAGGGCAGCCAGGGCAGTGGAAGGCTATGTGGATGGGGATTCAGACACTCCTCTTTGTTTTACCCCCTTCTCACAGTTTTATTGCCCATGCCATCCGCCACTGCTACCAGCCTGTGGGAGGAGGAGGGAGCCCTTCGGACTTCTACCTGTGTTCCCTACTAGCCAGCGGCACAGCAGCCCTGGCCTGCGTCTTCCTGGGGGTCACCGTGGACCGATTTGGCCGCCGGGGCATTCTGCTACTCTCGATGACCCTCACTGGCATTGCGTCCCTTGTCCTGCTGGGCCTGTGGGATTGTGAGCATCCTCCCTTCCCCACAGTGTGGGCTGAGCAAAGGAACCCCAGCAGAGGTGCTCCAGACAGAATCAGCCACTGCTCCTGGCATAGGCCTCCCAAGACCAGACCCTGCTCAGATCTTCCACAGTCCACCTTCCCTGTCCCTCCCCCCCTCCCCCCAGCCACACAACCCTGTCTGTTCTCCCAATCAATTAGTGGATGCCCAGAGCCCACCTGGCTAGAGCCATGGGATCAGAGAGCCAAAGGGATGATGCCAGGACCTAGACCGAGCATGATCTCTTCACCTCTGTTCACATCCTCCCTTGGTCCTCCAGATCTGAACGAGGCTGCCATCACCACCTTCTCTGTCCTTGGCCTCTTCTCCTCCCAAGCTGCTGGCATCCTCAGCACCCTTCTTGCTTCTGAAGTCATCCCTACCACTGTCCGGTGAGAGCAGTGCTGTTCTGGCTGAGGAAGGGCCTAAGGGAGGCGGGGAGGCTGCTGGAGAAGGGTTGGGGTGAGGCCCACAGCTAGAGGCTGAGTACCTCCTCCCTCTCTCCCAGGGGCCGAGGCCTGGGTCTGATCATGGCACTGGGGGCTCTTGGAGGGCTAAGTGGCCCAGCTCAGCGCCTCCACATGGGCCATGGAGCCTTCCTGCAGCATGTGGTGCTGGCAGCCTGTGCCCTCCTCTGCATCCTCAGCATCATGCTTCTGCCGGAGACCAAGCGCAAGCTCCTGCCCGAGGTGCTCCGGGATGGGGAGCTGTGCCGCCGGCCTTCCCTGCTGCGGCAGCCACCCCCCAATCGCTGTGACCATGTCCCACTGCTTGCCACCCCCAACCCTGCCCTCTGAGTGGCCTCTGAGCACCCTGGCAGGAGGCTGGCTTATACTGAAAGGTGGCATAAGGCCCTGGCAAACAGATTGGGAGGACTGGTGAGGAAGGCAGGGCTGCCCAGGAGACTGAGAGGCACCTCACGCCAGCCATCAAGGAGGGCTCAGAGGGCTGTCCCCACCCCCATCTCCTCCCTGCTGCTTTGTGTTCACTTCCTTGGCAAGAGTCAGGGGACAGGGAGCGAGCTCCACAGTGTAATCACTAGGTCTGGGCATCATCCTGCGCCCAAAGACATCCTCCCAGACCTCATTCTTTCTTGCTCTATCATTCTGTTTCAATAAAGACATTTTGAATAAATGAGCATACCATAGCCTGGACTTCCCTCCCTTCTGTTGTCCTGTCTCTTGGGGGAAGGTTTCTTTGAGTGGAACCAAAATCAGTAATAATCTCCCTCCCCACCTCCTTGTACCTTGCCCCGCTGTTAACTTACAGCCACCACCTTTAGGGATGACTTGCTCTGCTGCTCAAGACTGGGCTAGACACTTAACAAACTTCACTTAACCATTTAGTCCTTCCAACACCACAAGGTAGGTGTTTGGATCAATTAACAGTTCTTTTGTTATTGCAAGCAATAAAAACTGCTATAATGAAGTTAAACAAAAAGGGGAATTTATTAGAGGGACGTGGTGGGGAGCTCACAAAACAAAGAGAAGCAGAACTAGTCATAAAAGTTCAGGAACCAGAGAGGCCCACTGGTCCAGGGAGTAGGGACTGGGGCCTCACCTGGATGAATGACCACCAGTGGGATTCCATCCCACTGAAGATTCACTTCCAAAGAGCAAAAGCCTGGCTAGCTTGAATAACATACCTGCATCCCCACCCATGTTACTGAGAACCGGGAAGATGGAATGCAACTGAGTGCTGTTAGCAAAAGTAGGACTGGATATTGTGCAGGTAAAAACGACAGATGCCCACTACAGTATTCTTTTACAAATAAAATTGATGCGGACGCCTGGGTGGCTCAGCGGTTTAGCGCCGCCTTTGGCCCAGGACGTGATCCTGGAGACCTGGGATTGGGTCCCGCATCAAGATCCCTGCATGGAGCCTGCTTCTCCCTCTGCCTGTGTCTCTTCTCTCTCTCTCTCTCTCTCTCTCTCATCATAAATAAATAAAATCTTTAAAAAAATAGATGCTCAGAGATACCCAGTAATCTAGTCAAGGTTACAAAGCTAATGAGTGCAGTGACACATTAGATCCTGGAGTTGGAGCTCTTAATTGACGCACACTGTGTCCACCTTCCTAACTCCTTCCAATCTTTAGGCACTACCCTTGGAAGCAAGGATTGAGTCTTGAGGCACCCAGGAGTTGGCTATAGGAGACTAGGACTTCCACCTTGATGACAGGGCCTCCCTGCCTCTCAAACTAGCCCTGGCCTGGCTTTACCACTTTGGGCAAATTTCTTCCAGCTCCCTCAAGGTTGCTATGAGATTAAACAAGATAATGTATTATAAATGCCTCTTATATTATCCCACTAAATGGTAAGCTCGTTGAGGACAGGAACTTTGTCTTTCTCAACTTTAAAACACCAAAGCCTGACGTGGTAGATGTTTTTGTTGTTGTTTTGTTTGTTTGTTTGTTTAAGATTTTATTTATTTATTCATGAGAGACACAGATAGAGGGAGAGACGCAGAGACACAGAGGAGAAGCAGGCTCCATGCAGGAAGCCTGACGTGGGACTCGATCCCAGGACTCCAGGGTCACACCCTGGGCCGAAGGCAGGCGCCAAACTGCGGAGCCACCCAGGGATCCCCCTGGAGAGAATTCTTAAAGAAACTGGAGTCTTGAAGCCAGTCTCTTCCAGAGGAGGGAGGCCCATTCTCCACAGGTTCCTGCAGCACCAGTGTTCTCTCTCTCTTCCCCTCTGCTGATCCATGTCGACAGCCCAAGGCTCTACACACCAAGCCATGCTGCTGGACTCTCGATACTAACCATGTTACTGGAGAACTCTTAAGAGCCTTTCTCAATGAATCTTTACAGCCCACAGAAGTGCGTATTGTTATTTTTGTCCTATTTAACTACTGAGGACATGGAAATGAGAAGGCTCTGCCATTAAATGGTAGATCCAGGACTCCAATTTGGGCCTTCTGGCTGCTCTTTCAACTCTATCAGTTCCTTCACAGTTATGTACTCTGTATCTCACATTCTGTAGAACAATGTCTGTGAACAATGTAACTGATTCCAACGTTCACTGTTGAGCTTGGGATAGACAATGATGAAATGAAATCACACTCCCTACTGTCTCCAGGGATTCAGCGAAAACCAACATGATGGTAGATAAGAAAGCTCTTGTACTTTTTGGAAGGGCCCCTGTTAGTTATATGCTAATGACACTGTCCAATACATACTGTGAAGAATGACGTTAAAGGGGCATTCCAGTAAACCCATTCTTTGCACATTACAAGAAGGTTTAGGGAAAAAAAGTAAAAACAAAGAGCAGCTCTTGTAGGAGGATAGGTGAAAGAGAACATGATTATTTGACTTCAACCAGAGGTGAAGGCAAAGAAAATGAAAGCATTCAAGAAGCATCAACGAAGCACGGAGGAAGATACAGTTCCTTATCCCTAAGCAATTCATAGGCTAGGTAAAAAGGGTCAGTGTACAGCTAAAACAATTGGCATCTTGTTCTAAACCCACCAATCACATAATCTCACTGGACCCTAGTCAATAATCCCATGAGAAACAGGTCTCCTGGGCAGCCTGGGTGGCTGAGCGGTTTAGCATCGCCTTCAGTCCAGGGCCTGATCCTAGAGACCTGGGATCGAGTCCCACGTAAGGCTCCCTGCATGGAGCCTGCTCCTCCCTCTGCCTGTGTCTCTGCCTCTCTCTCTCTCTGTGTGTTTCTCATGAATAAATAAATAAAATATTTTTAAAAAAGAAAGAAACAGGTCTCCTTTTTAAGGCTTTTACAGATGGGGAGACTGAGGTTTGGAAAGGTAACTTCTTCAAGATTTTGTGACTGTTGGGATCACTGGGTGGCGCAGCGGTTTAGCGCCTGCCTTTGGCCCAGGGCGCGATCCTGGAGACCCGGGATCGAATCCCACATCGGGCTTCCGGTGCATGGAGCCTGCTTCTCCCTCTGCCTGTGTCTCTGCCTCTCTCTCTCTCTGTGACTATCATAAGTAATAATAAAATTTTTTTTTTTTAAAAAAGAGATTTTGTGACTGTTGACTAATTAGAGTAGCCAGATCTGGAGAACTGAGAACCTGCAATCTTCGTACAGCACACCAGATAGAAAATATTTCTGAACACCATGGAAGTATTACTTATTCTGTAGTCAGTTTCGAAGATACCTCAGGAACTTGAGATCGTTTTTAGGCAAATAAGGAAATGACTACTTTCATGAACACAAAACAGATTTTAGAAATGTTTTAGTTGGATTCACAACTATGGGCCATAATGGATTCTGAGGGGGAAATTAAAAGAATATACAGGGTACATTTCTAAACTTAAGTTACATGAAATGACATGAAGGCCACTCTCATCCCTCTCATTTGGTCAACCTTGCCTGGCCACCATGGAACCGATTTCTACCAATGACCCACTACTGTCTGGTACTGCCTCAGCTCTGGGGGAAGGGACATGGTCCTGCCCTGTGAGAGTTCTGAATACCGTGCAACTAATACTTAAAATCCTATATGAAAATGCAGAGAAGGGCAGCCCCAGTGGCTCAGCAGTTTAGCGCCGCCTTCAGCCCAGGGCCTGATCCTGGAAACTCGGGATCGAGTCCCACATCAGGCTCCCTGCATGGAGCCTGCTTCTCCTCTGTCTGTGTCTCTGCCAATCTCTCTCCCTCTCTCTCTCTTATGTTTCTCATGAATAAATAAAAAAATCTTTTAAAAAATAAAATACAGAGAAATATAAAAAGCACTGCAGCAGCTCTGTCAAGGGAACGGTCTCCTCTTTGGGAGACAGTCAAGGAAAGCTTCTCAGATATTTGGACTGGAACAATGCAAAGCTCAGGGGCATGACAGAACATGAATGGTGTGCAGAGAACAGCAAGTGTTCAAAAATCAACAAAATAAAAGGAGACTCTGAAAAACCCACAGCTGATCCTATTTATCACGACCAACTGAGAGCTTTTCCCCAAAGATCAGGAATAAGACAAGGATGTCTGCTCTCACCTTCTATTCAACATTATACTGGAGGTTCAAGGCAGGGAAATGAGGCAAGAAAATGAAAAAACAAAAACAAAAAAATACTCCTGGAATATAAAGAACAATGTAAAACCCTGTATTTGCAGATGGCATGATCTTGTATATACAGAATCCCAAGGACTATACACACACAAAAACTGTAAGAACTAAACAAACAAGTTCAGTAAGGTTACTAAACTTACAATTAAACTTGTAGGATACAAGATCAATGTACAAAATCAACCATATTTCTATACAATAGCCATGAATAATCTGAAAGTAAATTAAGAAAACTCCACTTAATACAGCAAAAAATACTTAGGAATAAATGTACTAAAAGAAGCGTTGACTTGTGCACTGAAAACTATAAAACATTGTTAAAGAAATTAAAGACAAATAAGTAGACATAGTACTTTCATAGTTTGGAAGACTTAATATTGTTACAATGGCAATCCTCCCCAAATTGTTCTACAGATTCAATATAATCCCTATTAAAATCCTGGCTTTCTTTTTTGAAAGCTGACAAGCTGATTCTGAAATTCATATGAAATATACAAGACCCAGAATAGCTAAACAATCTTGAAAAGGAACAAAATTAGAGGTCTCATACTTCCCACTTCTAAAACTTAACTACAAAGGTAAAGTAATGAACACAGTGTAGTACTGGCATAGGACAGCCATATAAATTGATGGAATAGAATTGAGACCCCGGAAATAAACCTATACATTCATGGTTAATTAATTCATTTTCAACAAGGATGCCAACATATTTAATGAGGAAAGAACAGCTTTTTAAACAAATGGTGCAGAGAGAATGCATATCTGCATGCAGAATAATGAAGTGGCCCTCTCCCTCGCACCATACACAAAAGTTCATCCAAAATGGATCAAAGACCTAAATATAAGAGTCAAACTATAAAACTGTTAGGAGAAAACATAGGCATACATCTTCATGACTTTTGTGCTTCAAAGGATACTATCAAGAAAGTGAAAAAGCAACCTACAAAATAGGAGAAAATATTTGCAAATCACATATATAAGGGTCTAGTACTCAGCATATAAAGAACTCCTACAACTCATCAATAAAAAGACAAGCCAAGGGATCCCTGGGTGGCGCAGCGGTTTGGCGCCTGCCTTTGGCCCAGGGCGCGATCCTGGAGACCTGGGATCAAATCCCACGTCGGGCTCCCGGTGCATGGAGCCTGCTTCTCCCTCTGCCTGTGTCTCTGCCTCTCTCTCTCTCTCTCTCTCTCTGTGACTATCATAAATAAATAAAAATTAAAAAAAAAAAGACAAGCCGATTAAAAAGTGGGCAAAGGATCCAAACCAAAGTTTCTTCAAAGAAGATAAACAAATGGCTAGTAAGCACAAGAAAAGATGTTCAGTATCCTTAGTCATTAGGGAAATGCAAATAAACACAAGATACCACTTCATACCCACTAGGATGGCTATAATCAAAAAGATGGACAGTAATGAATTTGATGAGGATGTGGAGAAATTGGAACCCTACTACACTGCTGGTAGAAAGGTAAAATGCTGCTGCTGCTTTTGAAAACAGCCTGGCAGTTCCAGCAGTTCCTCAAAAGGTTAAACGTGGTTTATTACCTGATAACCTAGCAACTCCACTTCTAAGAGAAATGAAAAGGTATGTTCATAGAAAATCATATAGCTTGTAGCAGCACTGTTCCTAACAGTAGAAAAAAATGGAAATTGCAAATGTCCATCAATTCACAGATAATCAAAATATGATCAGTCAACACAAGGAAATACTCAGCTATGAAAAAAAAAGGAAATACTTAGCTATGAAAAAGAACGAATTATTGATATATGCTACAACATGGATGAATCTTTAAAACATGATACCAAGTGAAGGAAGTCAGACATAAAAGGCCACATGTTGTATGACCCCATTTATATGAACTATCCAGAACAGGCAAAATCAGAGAAACAGAAATCATTGTTTGTTAGTGGGAGGGAAAATTAAGAATGCTTGCTAATGGGTATAGGGTTCTTTGGGGGCTTATGAAAATGCTCTACAATTAAGTAATGGTGATGGTTAACATAAATGTATGTATAGATGATAACATATATATTTATGTTACATAAAATACTACTGTACACTTAAAAGTTAAATTTGTATGGTATGCGAATTATATGTAACAAAATCCATACAACTTTTCAATGGGATGCAATCAGAGGTATGGCAAACCAACATTCGCCTTCAACAAATAAAATTAAAGTTCTCTTACTAGGCGGATCCCTGGGTGGCTCATTGGTTTAATGCCTGCCTTTGGCCCAGGGCATGGTCATGGAGCCCCAGGATCAAGACCCACGTCAAGCTCCCTGCATGAAGCCTGCTTCTCCCTCCTCTTCCTGTGTCTCTGCCTCTCTCTCTCGTGAATAAATAAAATCTTTATTAAAAAGTTCTCTTACTAAATGATTAACAAATGACATCCAAGCAAATAACATCCAAAACAATGCCCAGCACTTGGCAAATACTCAGTAAATGTCTGTTGAACCAATGATTACCACAAGCACAAAGGGAAAGAGGTATGAGAAAGTAGCATTAGCAGAGTTGAAAGATGTTTTAAAATTAGTTGATTTAAGGAAGGCTATTCATTTCAACCATGTAGAAGAGCAACCATTTTGGGGAAAAAAAAAACCCACAAAACATCATTTTTCTCTATGCTGATGTCAAGTTGGGCAAATTCTATCTGAAAAAGTTATGTTGTCTTCATTTGTTTTTCTAACACTCAGTCCCTCAGTCTCACTCCAGAGAAATCTTGTAGACAAGCGCCCTCAAATCTCCTAAACACTTCCTTCCCCCATAGTCCCAGTGAGACTGAGCTCATTCCAATCCCTTGGTTAAGAGGTGGTTCATCAGGAAGTGATTGACCAAAGAAAGCAATCCTTCCCAAGGAAAGTAACTTTCCTTCCATGCCACTTCCTTTAAAATTACTAAAAAAAAAAAAAATTACTAAGATACAGGAAAAATTTAAAAGTTCAGATAAGGAGGGAAATCTGATTCTTGTGAGGACAGGAACCAGCAGGTCCCAGATAAAGGGAACCCTCAAGGGTAATTAACATCTTCTGAGTACCTACTAATTTATACAAAGGCACAATCCATGCCCACAAGGAGCTTGCAGTCTAGTGAGGAAACCAGGATATAATTGTTCTAATTATAAAACAATGAAATGCTTAAACAGCGATAGGAACAATTTGCCCTGAGAGCAGAAGTGACTCATTCTGACTAGGGAATGAAGAAAGGTTTCTGGCTGTGGTGTTTGGCTTTATGCCTTGGCTTACACCTTGATTCTGAGAGAGTAAATGGAATGGGCACAGCATGAACAGTACATAAAATTCAACTGGAATGCACAGGGCATCAGATGTAGAGCAAGATGTGGCAGGGAAACTTAACCAGGATCAAACTGGGAAAGGGCTTAGTTACACACCTAAGTGAATTTGTAATTATTGGTGGTAGAACAAGGGCCCTTCAATGGCAACATGAAGTCTGGAGCCAGACATCTCTCAGCAGCCCAATTAAGGTAGGGAGTTGCTCAAGAAGTTAAAACAGAACGGAGAATGCGCAGGATGTTAATTGGACGTACAAAATTTAAAACAAAGGTCAAAAAAATGATCTCTAACAATTTATGTGAACTTTTTAGATGGCCATTTAGTGCCCTCTGGTGGATAGAAGAGACCTTCCCAGTACTAATGCATTAAGCTTCCCAGCATTAAGAAGTTCCATGTGTTTCTAGCCAAGTTGATATTAATATGCTATCCAGATTTCTACCAACCAGCCTTTGCAGAAATCTCCATTCAGATTACAAGGCACTATTCTAGTTGAATCGTTAGAGAACAGACAGACCTCTGAATGCTTAAATGATGCAACGGAGGCAATATAATAGATGAGCGAAATGCTAATGTGGTTGATGCTGGCCTGAGAATTCAGAATACAAAGCCAGAGAGGTGGGTTAAGGCTTCATGGATATATAGGGAACTCATTTCTTTAACCTAAGATTACTGAAGAGTATGTAGGTCAGAGGCAATCACAAAACACCCTATGAACAGAAGTAAATGGTTCAATAGAACATATAAAGGTTTAGATATTTAGAAATCCTATAGCAGGGGAAGACTGGAACAGTTAGGGGGCGATGTAGCACCCAAAAGTTTTAAGACCAATCTGACTTAAAAATACAAAATGGAGTAATTCAGTTATTAATGAGACCAAGTACGAAACTTAAAGATATAAATCAGTGAAAACCAGTTAAGTCCTAATTAATGGTATGATTCAAAATGAATTCACTGAACATATATTAAGTGGTCAGTGTGGCTACAGAAGATAGCATAAGCTTTGCAACTATCTTTGTTAGCAAACTACTGCCTTTTTCCCTCATTTTTTTGAGCTCACTTTGAGGTAAAGACAAGAAAAGCTACCCAGACCCCAAAGACTCCAGTGCTGCTGGTGTGGATAATTCATTTGCACATTAATCAGGTATGCACACTGATTACTCTTAATCCTGCCATTCTTTTACATTCCCGGACTCATTCGATAGACCTTTCAAATACCAGGCTACATACTACCCAGAAAACTCATCGTCCCCAACTAAATACACAATGTTCCTGTTGCAATTTTAACCCCCACTCTAATTCGTTAAGTGAGAACTTCCCCTCCACAACACCAGCACTTCCACAAAGAGTATTAGCAGCCATCTGGATCTAAAAGAAAATAGGAAAATAGATAAATAATTCTTACACCCAAAGGCCAAACAATTTTTATTTTCAAAAACAACTTTATTCATGACACATATTAAAAAAAAATCCCACCCCCTGGAAATGAGCTAAAAAAATAAACAAAATCCACCTCCCACCGCCCTGTTCCCACTTCCTCCCATTCCCTCCAAATAAAAGGGAAAAAAAGGCAAAGGAAAACAAAACAAAACAAAAAAACTGAAAAACAAAAAAAAACGCCCCAAAACCCCCCAAAACAAGGTAGTGCATTTCCCCAGGGGGTAGGGGAATTTACACTGGAGCCGCTGGGAGCGGAACGGAGATCTTCCGGCTACAGAAACCTGCAAAGAAAGACACTCAAAACAGAAAAAGAAACACAAAAGGAAACAAAATAGATCACCAGGCAATCTGGAGGGGCAGGGAGCCGGAAAAGAGGGGTGGGGTGGGTGGCAGACCTGGCAGGACAGGAGCAGGTGGAGGGGACTGCGAAAGTTAGGGAGAAGATGGAGGGAAGGTAACAAGCAGAACAGTTTGGTGTCCTTCCAGAGCCCTGGGTAAAAAAACCCTCCTACCACCCATGCCCACCTACCCTCGAGCAGCCCCCAAAGGGGTGAAGTGGGACAGGGAAACAAGGGAGCAGCTTGCGCAGTTGAGACGTGTCCATGGCGAATCCCCAGAGTGATTGAGCAGCCCCCTGCCCCGCTCCCTGGGCCTTCCCCTACTTCCCAAAGCAGGTCCCTCCTCAGCAGTTAGTTATGGGATTCTCCCCCCTTCCACAGTATATCTTTTTTTTAAAAAATATTTTTTTTTCCATCAAGGTCATCTTCTGTTTTTCTTTTTTTTTTTAATTCTTTTTTTTTTTTTCCTTCTTTCCTCTTTTTTTCCTCTCTCTCCTCCTAATACACACTTTTTTTAGTAAGGGGAATACCATGATGTCGCTCTAGCCCGGCCCCTGGAAGAAAGAAGGAGAGTTAGGTGTTAACATGATCACTTAAGAGTTTAGCACAAGCCCCTCCCCGTGGGCCCTTGCCCCAGTGACAGTGCAGGGAATGGGGGGGGGGAGGAGAAGTTTCCAAGTATCCTAAAAGTGACCCCACAATGGTGACACACCTGGCAAACAGGAGGGGATAATTTAACAGAATACTTTGCCAGAGGCAAAAAACTACATCTGAGATACAGGGGCAAGAAAATGGACTCATCTTTCCAGTTTCAGTTTTCCACAGCTCTTAAACCCCAGGCCTTCACCATCAGATCCTCCCTAATTCCTGGGAGCAGATAAGTGTATCTTATAAAAAGCCAAGGTCTATATACCTGTCCTGTCTATTCAAAGGCGGAGAAATGATAGTAAAGCAACAACATGGGCACCACACTAGGCCCAGAGAAAAAGTTAACCTTGCAAAACAGTGGCTCAGTTAAAGAGTAAATATTTCAGTATCCTCCCACACGGCTGTTGAGGAAGATCAACTAGCCTCTGGTATTCTTCCAAGGGAGATTCAATCTTCAACCCCCTCCTTAACTCTGGGAAAAATAGCAAATGTCCAAGCAATGCCTTCACTACTAAGGCCATTCTTTCCGGCCTGCTGTGTAAATGCCTTCATTGCTACCAACTCTCAGGGAAAAAAAAAGGCTGGGGGAAAGCATCTCTCAGAACAAGAGCAGAGAGATCCAGCCCTTATCACCAATTCCTGCTCCAGAAAACGATGATGAGACTGGCCTCCTGGCCTGGCCTGCAACTACCTTCCTCACCCTGCACAGGCAGGAGACCAAGTCCCTGGAGACCAAGGGGAGGGTAACGTGAGGGAGGTTCCTCAGATCAGGAAAGAAGGAAACATACAGGGCTCATGGGAGGCGGGGGAGAGGAGCAGCCCATCTATCCTGACCTGTAGACGCGACCCCGGGGCCTGCTGTTAAAACCACTGTAGAATCGAGAGCGGGAGCTGTTGTAGTTGGTAGTCCGGGCACGGTATCGGGCTCGTGGGAAACCCCGGTCTGTTGTGCTGATGCCTGGTCTGTTGGTTCGTTTTGGGATCACCTGAGAGTGAGGGATATACAACAGAAAGTCTTAAAATAAGCCTGGAGAGTTTACACAGAACCAGAACAGCAATGAGTACAGGGCTTACCTTGATTTGTCTTCCTCTAAATAGTGACTCATCTAAGGCCAAGGAAGTCCTCACTGACTCTTTGTCTGAGAACTCTATATACGCAAAACTGAAAAGAATAATTGTCATTTCATTCATCTGAAGTTACAGCAGCTTACACATCAAATCCAACTTGCAGGTATGCCTGAATAACAACAGGGCCACATATTTATTTATTGGTCAATTTTTTTTAAAAAAGGTTTTTATTTATTTATTCATTCATGAGAGACAATGCGGGGGGGTGGGGGGTGGGGGCAAAGACACAGGCAGAGGGAGAAGGCGGCTCCATGCAGGTAGCCTGAGGTGGGACTTGATCCCAGGTCTCCAGGATCAGGCCCTGGGCTGAAGGCAGCACTAAAACCGCTGAGCCACCGGGCTGCCCTGGTCAAATTTTTTTTAAATGGAATACTTCAATCTAAATTTCCACCTACTCTTAAGAAAATTATAAAATAGTATACAAACAGCCTGGATTGCTAAGCAAATGCTGTCCCTCCTTCTTCTAGTTCATAATCCTACTCATGCTAACCTTCATCTTTATGTTTGGTCTCTGAAGACATTTACGTGCAACCCGATATGTATATGTGACACTAACGCCCTAACCGTAAGACGAACACTGCTTAGTGTAACAAGTTAACACTGCTCAATACAAAACATGATTTATCTATTTCTAAGATGTGATTAAAACAACCTCATTTTACTTCTCTACTTACCCTTTAGGATGGCCACTAAATTTGTCACAGAGTATGGTAACACGGTTGACTGAACCACAGCCATGAAAGTGTGCTTCCAACTCTTCTGCTGTTGCACCATAGTCCACCTGTGAGGGTAGAGAAGGTTATATTTCACAGGTACCCTGCCTATCCTCTCCAAATCACATCAACTCTCGTTCTCTAAGAAGTTAATCTTCTCTTCCTAACCCCAGAGCCTCTGCTGATCTCCATTTCCTTTTACCTCCTCCAAACCCTCTCAATACTCCCCCAACTTACTACCTATCCTTGAAATATTCCTTAAGACTCCTATTAACCAACTCCCCAAACAAGAGCTTTCCCACAACCCCAATCAGGGCCCCAATACATACATTGCCAACATAAATGGAACGGGCATCAGCCTCCATCTTCTCTTCAATGGACATGATCACTGGGCCAGCTTTGAAGAAAAAAGAAAGGGAGGGGGGTGGCAGGAAACTGGTTTTCTATTTGACCAATATATGCATCACTACCACCACAACCACTACAGGGAAGGCAAAGATTTTGGTCTGTTCTGTTCCCTGCTGCACCCCTTACCAAGAATACTGTCTAGCACACAATAGATGCTGGGCTGAACATCTGACTAATCAAGCAACAGATTAACATATCCTTAAAAAAAAAAATCAGAGAAAACAGTACAGGAATTTCTCTCCTGCCCCCAAATCAAGACCCTATTGAACAGCTTTGACTCAAATCATTTTTATAGTGAACAAAATCAAGGGAACCCAAACTCAACAGTTCTAGGTTAAAGAGAAAGCCCTCTGCAGTCGAGTAGCTTCTCTTAGGACTCCTAACTAAAGGGTCTCCAACTAAAGGAAGAACTATGAGACTTGAAGGTCAAATGCCAGTTGGCAACGTCCACAAAGAGTAGAGGTAGACTAAAGAACAAAGAAGAACACATTTGTAAAAAGGACAAAGAAAGGCACAAAATTACCATCACCAAAATAGAGATTCTTGCCTCACTAAGGTCAGAAAAACACACAATGGACTATGACCCCAGCACCTGCCCAGTAACTGCACATACAAGCAGCTCCAAGGTCCCGAGCATCTAATCCCACACAATCCGTGCTCGCAGAACCCTTCCGAGGACCCGGGCTCCGCGTGCAACCGCCGGTTACTCACCATTGCCTGGAGGTGGACTCATATTCATCTGTTTCTCTACCTCGTTCTGTAGCTCCTTTAACTTCTCAGCTTCTTCCTCCATCTCCCTGACTCGAGCTTTTATCGCTTCCAGCTCCTGTAATGAGTGGAAAGGGTATGGAGAAGAGCTTCAGAGGAACCAACGCAGGGGCTGTGCCCTGCTCTCCGTCCAAGCGCGGCCCCAGCCGTGCTCGGCCATTTCCCTCGCCCCACGCGCGGGTCGCGATGAAAAGAAAACCAAGCTACCTTCTCTAGAACAACACTAGGCACCCATAACGCCCGAATCAACCCGGCTGGGCCCCTTCTGGACGTCGAGGATCCGCGCCCGGCCCCAGCCACGTTATTCCCCGCCCACCCCACCCCCCGCCTGCCTCCCGCTCGCCCGAGCTCTGGGCCTCCCGTGACACGGCCAGGCCTGCTCGCTCGCCCTCCTTCCCTCACCGGGTCCTCAATGGCGCCGTCCCCCGGGTCACCCTCGACCAGTCCCGGCTCCTCCTCCTCCTCCTGGCTGCCGGGGGCTCCCGAGCCAGGCCCAGGGCCCGGAGCTCCCGGGGGGGCGCGGGGCCGGGGCGGCTCCTCTTCGGGCTCGGGCTCCGGCTCGGGCTCCAGCAGCAGCTCCTCAGGCTCCAGTTCCTCAGACTCCAGGCCGTTCCCGTAGTCCCCTGCGCCCCCCGGGGCCCCCTCCCCGGCCTCCCCACCGGCCCCGGGCACAAGATGGCGCCGCCGCCCCGGCCCGGAGCCCCGACCGCCCGCAGCCCCCGCTGCTGCTGCCGCCGCCGCCGCCGCCGCCATCGCCGCTCAGACTGGGGCCCGCCGCCCGGCGATTGGAGAACAGCGCCGGGCACGCCGAGGATTCATTAGTCTAGCAACCTGCCCGTCACCACGAGCTAGGACTCCATTGGGAGATATTACTTGGCGATCAAATAAGACCCCACCCCTAAGGCGGGATATTGCGCCAAATTCTCAAATCCCGGTAGGGGAGCTGGCCTGTCAATCAACATACGCCCCACCTCCTCTCAAGCCCTTAGGTAACAATACCGCCACGCTGTGACGACATTCCTGCTTCCCCCCACCCCCACCTCCAGGCGGATCCGCGAGTATAGGACGCTCGGTGATTGGCCGCTGGCTAGGGCGAGGAGAAAAGGCCAATCTTCCGATCGCCTCGCAGCAATAGCCCTCTCGGATGCCGATTGGCTCGTGAGATTCGAAGGGCTAACATCCGTTTCGTGACAGGTGAACCTTGCCCCGCAACGGACGGCAAGGCTTCCAGCCATGGAAAGCCGAGGTCACATGACTAGTCCTTGGCGGGGGCCGCCATCTTGACGCTACTGGTTGCCGGCTGGAGAGGTGTTAGAAAGCAGTGGCTGGAAACGTTGAAGCGGTTTCTGTAAACTGGTTTGCTAACCAGGAAACTACCAGTGGATGGGATGTTGCTGGAAATGGAGGTTCTGAATGGAGCTCTCCAGTAAGATGCTTGCTTTCCCCATCCAGGTACCAACACCCATCAGGTCTCCCAGACCAGAAAGCAGGAAGGAATCTTCACTCCAGAGCTACCAGGCCTGTCTGATCTGTCTTCCTTGTGCAGGCATACTTTCCAAGCCCGCTGCTCATGCCTCAGTTTCAGTTTGTTTCTTGGGCTGTTTGCTAAGCCCCCTAATAGATCTCTCAGCTTCCAGTGTCACTCTTAACAGTCCTCACCGCTACCACAGTGAGCTGGCTCCCCTTTGCTGGCCAGGTAAAAGTAAAACTGTGCCGTGGCCTTAGAGACCTCAGGACCAGCCTACGTCACAAATGTTATTTCTACAGTCCTCATTCCAGGGGGTATACCTGCACCCAGCTCTGTGCCTCTGTACATGAAGTCACTCTTCGACCAGACCACTGCAAACCTAAGCACCGCTCGTGCAAAACCTTACGCTAGCCTCCTCTCCTTTCCCATGACTAGCAGGCTTACTACCTCCACTGTGCACATAATCATTTTGTCCTGCATCCTGAGAATTTGGAGAGGAGAGGCTGGATCCTATTTATATTTGCAGCTCCACTGTGGGGCAATATGCTTGGCACATATTAAGTGTCAATAAATGTCTGCATTGACCGGGAATCTGGGTGCCACCCTCATCTTCAACTCTTTCCCAGCCCCCAAACCTTCCTTCAGACCACAGAGGAATTCCTCCAGGCAGGTTCCCACCACAAGTTTCCACTCTGAGATAACCAATGAGACATCACCCTGGAAAGCAGGGTTGCCATATGTAGTAGTGATACTACACATTTATTTAAAAAGAAGAAACAAAGGTGCAAAGTTTGCAAGAGGGTTATTTGTAGCCAGACGCAGCTAGGGTTTGACAGCCAGATTCAAATGAGCCCAATCAAATTAATCAGACAACCCCAACAGGATGTGTGTGTCTGGGGTGAGGAGATTTGGACAAGAGGAGATCCCTGTTAGCAAACCAAAAAGTCAAAAGCGTCTCAGTATACCCCACTCTTCCCCTCACCCTCACTTTTCCTCACAAATCCTTACCTCAGGAACAGGGGAATTCAAAGCAGAGTCACAGTCGCTTAAAATTTCACTGAAAATTACTTCAGCAGCATCTCAGCTCCAGTGGTCTGGGAGAACTAACTTGAGCACGGAAGACAAGTTCTAAAAGACTGTGAGGTCACTGGAAAAAAAAGGTTTTCTACTAATCTTAACCTAATCAATATTTTCATATTTAATTGGTGCTTGGTTTAAACTAATCAAGCTGAGGGCGCCTGGGTGGCTCAGTAGATTGAGCGTGGCCTTTAGTGCTCATGGTCCTATAGTCCTGGGATGGAGGATCTACACTCAGCAGAGACCCTGCTTCTCCCTCTCCCAGTGCCCCTCCCTACTCTTTGGCATGTGCTGTCTCTCAAATAAATAAACAAAATCTTGATAAATTAACTAATCAAGCTGATCAAGGGAAATGCGATTTTTTTATAAGGACTTTCGAATCCTAATTTTGTTGAGCACTTGATTTCGTAACAGGCACAATCCTGGACTCCTTATTATATTATCTCATTGAATTCTCACAACTCTATAAAGCAGATATTTCCAAAACTATAGCCTTTTGGGGGGACGAAGAAAGAGTGAAGTAACTTGCCCAAGTCATGGAACTAATAATTAAAAGTGAGCAGGGGAGAAAAAAAGTTAGCAGGGAATTCAGAGCTAGCTTTCAAAGCTTAGATCAAAATTACCATAAAGTCTGCCTTAATACACAAATATTATATTATGTATGATATTGAAATTGGAAAAAGACTAAATTTCAACAATAGACATATGTTTAGGCAAGCTGTAATTATATCCAAAGATTATTATGCACCTATTAAAAGGGTTACACAAAACATGTAATAAAATCCAAAAATAATTCTTGTTAGGTCAAAGAAGTAGAATGTAAAAGTGTATATAAAGCACGATTATGATTTTTTTTTTAATAACTTGGACTTTGGGGAAAAAAGGGAGCAAGAACCAGTTCTATCTTTTCTTTGGTAATATGTACTAAAAGCTTTAAAACTGTTGAGATTCTTTTTATTTTTTATTTTTTTATTTTTAAAATTTATTTATTCATGAGAGACAGAGAGAGGTAAAGATACAGGCAGAGGGAGAAGCAGGCTCCCTGCAGGGAGCCCAATGTGGGACCTGATCCCGGGACTCCAGGATCATGCCCTGAGCCAAAGGCAGATGCTCAACCACCGGGCCATCCAAGCGTCCCCCTCCTTTTTTTTTCTCTAATTTTTTAACAGTTGAGATTCTTGACCTGGCGATTTTATTTATCATCTGCACATTTAGGAATAAAGACCTTCATCAAAGTGAAAAAAGGTAAGCAACTTGAATGTCCAAATAGGCACATTCAGGAGAATTATTATACACACATAGATTTAATTTTATATAGTCATTTTGCCTTCAAAACACTTTTAATGACAAGGAAAAACTGTGCAATATAATGGTAAGCAGAACTGTAGTATAAGAAATTGTATATACAGTATGATCATAAAATATAAGCACAGATAAAAGATGGGAAAGAAATATGCCAAAATGTTAACAGTGGTACTTTCTGAGTAGTAGGATTATAATTGATTTATCATTTTCTGCGTTATACGAACGATTTTCCCCACAATATCATGTTATTTTTTATCATGTTATTTTTATTTAAAATTTTAAAAACCCTCTAACTTCCAAACTTACTCTAGTAAGAATGATTACTTTTTCAGACACATTTAAAAAGATATTTGAATGACTTATAAAGTGAGATACTTCCCTATTAGAGTGTAAACTGTAAAAGGCAGGGACATCATCTTAATTATATTTGTATTCCCAATGCCCAACACTGTGTGCTCAATAAATGCTAACTGAATGAATGATCTTCCATAATAATTTAAAATCTTACCCATTGTTGATGCATAGAGAACATCAAAGAGTAAGTTTCTAAGAATGAATTTGTAAGAAATTCATACGTGATGATGTGAAATTTACCCATTATGAGTATAATTTTCCTTCAGTAATAACCTTTCCATAGAGGCTATGGAGTTTTGGGAAAAATAAAACTCAGTGATGCTGTGCCCTAGAAGGAAAAATGTGTCAATAGAAGTGGCTAGTGGACTTAAGGAGAATTTAATCAGTAAAAAAATGGATGAGGGCATCTCCAGTTTTGTCCAAAAGGGAAAAGCTGTCTCACTAAACTATATAAACACATGGCTTTGTGGTAGTTTCATCCCTATTTTTAACTCTTGCTTTTTTTTTTCTTTTTTGCCTGCTATAATAATTCTCTATAATCTAAAACTACATTGTTTAATATGATACCCACTACTCACACATGCCTTGAGCACTTGGAATGTGAGTAGTCTGACTTGAGATATACTGAAAATGTCAAATATACACCAAATTTCAAAGACACTAGGAAAAAGAGACTATAAAACAAATTAATAACTGTTATATTAATTATAGGTTGCAATTATAATAATTTTTATATACTGGGCTAAGTAAAATATTATTAAAATTAGTTTTATACCTGTACCTTTTTGCTTTTTTAATGAGGCTACCAGAAAATTGAAACTACATATATGATTTGCATTATATTTCTGTTAGTGCTGACATAAAACCTTGAAGCCTTGATCATTTACTTACCTCTACTATGGAACAGACTCCAATTATTTTCTTTGTTGTTTTCTTTTCAGGCTGAGCCCCAACACAGGGCTTGAACTCACAACCCTAAGATGGAGACTTGAGCTGAGATCAAGAGTTGGATGTCCAACCAACTGAGCCACCCAGGTGCCCCAACTCCAATTATTCTCTAATGCAAAGTCTAGGCTCGACTATCTTAACTCCCTAGGTCTGTCCTTGCAGGGAAGTGAGGTGTCCATTTAAATGAGAAAGAATCTCCATGGGCTGCTTATTTTCTATTCTGCTTGGTTAACTTTTAAAAAATGTACCTGGAAAACTTGTTTTAATATACTGTATCATATATATGTGTTCTTTATGAAAAGATCAGAAAATATGGATAGTAAAAAGAACAAAATAAAATCACCAGTAAAATCCAACACCCAGAGATAATCACTAGTGATATTTTGGCATATCCCCTTCCTGAAATTTTCAAAACATATATACATATAGAAGCACACATGCACACACACACACATTTATATATTTATTTTGGCAAACTGGGATCATACTGTATATATTATTTTCTACTTCCTTCTTTACCAAGTTAGAAATGTCTTTCCATAGCAATAAAAATATTTTTCCAATTTGATTTTCCATGACTTTACTCAAAAAAGTCACCTTAGAAATGAGGGCTTCC